GAATCCTTTGTAGTTTTTGGCTCAGTTCCCGTTTATCACTTCTCCCAGTGCATTGCATGGATTTTTAGTGCTTTTGCGTGGGCTTGGCTTCATTTGTGTTATTGTTATTGGTATTAGCATTAGTATTAGTTTAAGGTTCAACTTGTGGTCGCATGCTCTGTTGGGCTCCTCAGTCGTTGGTTAACTTCATTTGCCACACTTTGTTGCACGTACATGGCTAACAGTTTGGCTGCCTGGCTGATTGTGGTGCTTCGGTCTTCTGCCCCGTCTAATTCAATTTCTTTGTCTTTGTCTGTTTGCCCATTAGTCGCTGACGTACTCACATATGAAGCACTATTCGTAGCGCTCGAGCCCGAGCCCGGGTCGACCCGCTTTGCTCTTTGGTTAAAATGTCGACTTAATTAAATTTTCATGTTTCAATGCAAAAACCATTTGTACGGCATTGTATTAGATTTTGTGCATTTCAACTTTTTCTCAATTTCTCCTTCACAAAGCTCAAGGCGTATGTTCTATACTTGTATGTAGCCGACAACAAATGCATGCATAACAGTTGGAGAAGCAATAAAAAATCTTCTTGCCCCAAACATTGCAGTTAATTGTCAAAGCCAAAAGCAACAGCCCCCGCAATCACACCCACACACACACACACACACACACACACACAAAGGCAAACACACCCACACACATAGTCACAAATAGCAATTAGTTGTGCAGTGCGGCAGACAAACAGACAGACAAATTGCACATAAAGTTAGCCCGCAGGTGAACAGAGCTTTCAGTTTTCAAATAAACACACACAAGCACACATACACATACTGAGTTTTGGGACAACTGTAACTGTGCATTCAAAACACACACAGACACACACAAATTGGTCTCAGTTCATGTGCAAAACCTCAACTTAATTGTACATGTTAAATTGGCAGATATGCGATCACATTTTGAGTTATAGACACGCTGAGAGTTGGCCTTATGTCGAATGAAGGCTCGCTTAATGCCTGAATACCTGCTGGCCTACACATTACGCATACGCACTGTCGGCAGCAGCAGAAAAAGATGTGGCAAGTGAACTCACAATGTGCAGACATGCTGGAAACTTCATTAAAATTTTAATGCACACGTCAACACACCCACACACACACCCAGAGAGCGATAGAGAGAGAGAGGGAGAGAGAAAGAGAAAGAGAGAGACAACACTTTCATTTGCAAAATGCAGAAGCAATTGCTGGATCCGACAACAAAGTAGTGGCCTCATAAGTACAAGTTGCTATGTGGCTTAACTAATGGGCGGCAACAATGTGTATACGTGTATTTAGTATAAGTATATGTATACTATATGTATGTGAGTCGGCCAAATCTGCCGCTACCATTTAAGCTAGTTCACCAAACAATTTTGAATTAAATAATCAAAGTAGTACTGTTTAGTTAGCTGTCTACTTAAATTTAATTCGCTTTACTAGTTTGTGGGTGAAGATTTTTTGCAATCTTGTTAGCTTACTACTTTAGTTTAAATTAAATTTTGAATTATACGTTTTATACAGCAACATAATCATGAGAAGAACTCGAAGCTTAATAGTAAATCCGACATATCCTGACCACAGCAATAATGTTAAATACAAATTATTTTTTAGGCTACTTATTTATTGAACAATATAGGTACTAGTTTAGTCTATGTCAGTGAATAGCGCACATAGCCTTCTAGTAGATCATTTTTAAAATCCAGAAAAGTCGAACCACTAGGTCCTTTACCCGCCATTGAAATAATCGATCGATTTTGTAGATACTTTTTCAAATTTGATAGTACGTTGCTTTATATAATCTTAGACTATATAAGTACACTTGAACTTGAACCAAATCGTACTACTATATCAAACAGCTGTTATAAAGAGAATAAGAAATATATCATCAGATAGGACTGCTCTACTATGTTGATTTCACTATAAAAATGTGGTTATGAGTGATTTTAAAACGGAGAAGTAGATTTAAAACATTTCACTAGCTTGCGTAAACAAAAGCTCTCCAATACATTATATGAGTCGCTATTCGACTCATGTATTAAATATCATCGTTGTATTCAAATCAAATTGAATTTTAAATTCAAGCACTGGAACTTATGAATGGAAATCACAGCTCCAGCATGCAACAGCAATCGTGGTTAAATGTTCTCTACCTTCATTGAAGCAGTTGTGGCCACAGAATGTATGTTGGGGCTGCATGCAAAGGGCTGCGTCTTCTATGACCCGCAGCAAATGAACGCAGCCAAGCTACCCGAATGCCCCTTTTTCGAAGCAACCTCTACCATCGCAATATGCGTTGCTAATGAGCCAATAAATGTGTGGCAACTGTGTGGCTGCTGCCGCAATTATTATGTGAGAATTTCCGCACATCAGCACGCCGCTTGGAGTGTTAATAATTAAATGCTTCCGTTCTTCAAAGCTCCCCCAACACACACAAACATATACACACACACACACACACATAGAGAGACACTCGAGTGGAACAAAGAACTCATAATAGGACAGCGCAGCATTTAAACTATGGCATGTCAATGAGATTAGCACTCGACAGGATGTTGTCTGGCATTGTCACATGACTCGCTGAGTGTCATAAATTAAACAGGAATGGCAACAGCAACATACTATATAGACATCCAATCAATTGATTGACTCTTTATCGCATCCTGCGCAATTGTCAGCAAATGGATTGATTAGCCCCGAGCAGATGGTCGGATAAAGTGATGAAAACAAAAATAATGGTGTTTATTATTGAAAGCGCGTTCATTGTTTATTATTCAGCCAAATTGAAAATTGCAAAGGCAGAGCTTATTAAAATACAGCACACACATATACATATATGTGCACACACATACAGAACAAAAAGGGTAAGCTTTGTACAAATGACGCATCAAAGTCCATTAGCCGATGATGTCGATGACAAGGCCCAACCCAAAGAGCCCAAGAGCCAAATGCTGAGAACGGAAATCGCCGAACAACAACAGCAAAGCCAACAACTAATTTCAAAACGTGCCGCACCATGAAGCACAGCGAAACCCACAACAGCCGAAACAAAAAGTATAGAAATAATTTGTTTTATTTTCCTTTTTGCCAATTAACAAAAAGATTGACACTTTCATTTGAAAATCGCAAATCAAGCGACCCAAATATCTAACTACAACAAATTGCAATTTAAAATTTGTAACGCCTTGTCCCAGCCATATATGAGTGTGTGCGTGTGTGTGTGTGTGTGTGTGTGTGTGTGTGTGTGTGTGTTAGAGAGAGCGTCTGCGTGTGTGTGAGATATCGAATAGATAATTGACAGTTTGTTGGGCAGATTTCGAAGCGTTTCTCAAAATGGTTGCGACATTTGTAATCGCTATATTAGCGCTGCATGTCATTCCGATAATGACGCGCCACAAATGTATGGAGCGATGAGTGTATGTGTATGTGTATGTGTATGCGAGAGTGTATCTGATTGTCTGTCTGGCTGAGTGTGGCAGCTATCAATAAACAAACTTTGTTCAAGCAAGCCAAGCAGACATCAAATGCTGCTGACATTTTGACAGATAATTTATGCAGGTTTCGTTTTTTCGTTTTTGTTTAACGTGATTAGCATTTTTATAAATTTGGCAAATTGTGACAAGAGCGAAACGCCCGATGCTGTAAGGTTGGCAAATCAAATTGGTATTTACACCTAATATTATATACAAAGAGATTAGTTCTGCAGATAGCCGTGACAGTTGTGCGAATTGAAACAGAAATTGCAAAACAATAGACTCTGTTTTCAATGCATTCATATTTCTTATCATTAGATACTAAATGTGCAAAGAGTTTATCTAACTTGATACATGCTTCCGATAGTTGACTGTTTAGATAGAAAAATGTAAAAGAACAAATTCAAAAGGTTCTCATGCCAAATAAATTCCAAACCTTGATATTAATCGCCATTCGAATTCCGTAACACTCAGCGTATTTATAATAATTACGATATTTAAAAACAAACATTCCATAAATAAATTGAACTTTTGGTTGATTATAATCAAAATCAAAATTTAATAGGTAATCCACATGAAAATCATTCAGAGGGACCATAGAAACTATGTTGTTTTATTTTCGGGTAGCATTCTTCTGTACAAGTATAGTATAGGTTATAATCATTCTCAATATATATGAAGTTCTAGGAGCAAATTTGCTGTTTAATTGAAACTCTATTTAAAACACACGATTTTCTGTTTATACTTTAATAATCAGCAGGTATGCAAATTATTTACATGTCTGACCGAAGCCTTCGCAAACCAAACATATGCCATGAATATATGTCTATTAAGGGAGAAAACACGATAGAGTTGAAACAATATTCACATAGCATAAAGCGTCTAGTATAAATCTAAAACAATTGCATTAATATATTAATTATATCGATTATTTTTCAAAATGAATAAATCTGTTCTCTGCACAGGAACGCTTGTGAATATTTTCTTGGCAACTAGCCCATCCAAATGTTAGGCTAATCAGCTTACACATATTATAGTATACTCATGAGCCAAGCAAAAACTTTATGCCCAATAAAACTTTGAATGCCTCATAATCATATTTATCGGACCTTATGCATGTTTAATAAACAGCAGAGCAAGCAGCAAATTAAATTTCATTAACTAAAAGCAACACCTACAACAGCAGCAACAACAACAGCAGACAAACAAACAAGTTTTGAGCTTATGTATGTACTCGTGTGTACGACTGCGATTTGGCCAAATGGGAGGAAATCCCAGGCAAACCATTAAAAGTGAGAGCAGCCGCTGCTTCAGCTGCTTCAGCTGCAAATCCCCATAGTCGAAAAACTTCTACGGCCAAGTGATTAAATTTTGCAACAACAGCAGAAACAGCAACAGCAACAACAACAACAACTAGAACTAGAACTACATACTATACAAGTACAAGTACAATAATACTTATGGCTATTTCTTTCCTCTTCTTTTTTGTGTGTGCTCGCTCCACTTGCAGGTCACGTGCTCGAGTTGGCAGAACAATCCGAGAATAAAACACTGTCGGTCTTCTCCACGGTCTACAGTCGGATGGTCCCATTGTCGCGCATGATGATACATCAATTGTACACGGAAATCATGAAGTACGTACGGAGCCTGCTCGGGGCCCCAAACAAAGGGTAGTGAAGTAACCAATCTCCCGTCCTTTTCCCCTTCTGCTTCTCTAGTCATCTGAAGTACACCTCGAACTACAGCAGCAACAATGGGCAGGGTAACAACATCATCAGCAGCCAGAGCAGTCTCGAGGATGCGCTCCACAAGTTCTTTGTGCAGCTATTTCCCGTTGCCTACCACCAGGCCGTGCATCTGAGCAAGAAAAATTACGGCGAGCTGCACGAGGACTACATCAATTGCCTGAAGCTCAACTTTGACGATCTGCAGCCATTCGGACAAATACCCAAGGAGATCCAGACAAATCTGTTGCAGAGCGTCCACATGGCCAACATCTTCATGAACGCCCTGCTCCAGAGCGCGGAGGTCCTAAGCGAAGTTGACCAGCTCTATGGCCAGCATCTGACAGACACCTGCAAGCGTCAGCTCCTCAAGATGAGCTACTGCCCCAGCTGTAATGGCCAGCAGAGGTCGCAGGTGAAGGTCTGCTACAGCTACTGCATGAATGTTTTGCGGTAAGTGGGGCGCTCTTAACATTTCTCATTTCTTTGACATTCTTAAGAATAGCAGATGGATCGGGCTAATCATAAAATACAAGTATATACATAATACAATTGCTGGTAATTTAAAAGATAGTTTGTCTCGCGTCATAAATTTGTGGCAAACAATATAAGCTACGAATATTTGAGTCCAGATAGCAACATTTTTAATACAAATGAAAAAGGCTTCAGTTTCTAGTAGGATCTAGTAGTATCTAGTGCTTGCTAATAAAAAAAAAAAAAAAAACCTTAAGAGATTCTTTTCATATTTCATTTGTCCCTTAAATGCATTCAATGCATTGCTTCCCAATTCAAAGCACATCTAAGATACCAATGCTTGCCAAAACATGCTCATTCCAAGTCAACTTCGTAGCACATTTCGGGGAAAAATAAACAGCTACTGTTGCTTAAAAGATTATAAATACTTAGCGATAAAGTATAGAGTATACAAGTATACTATCTCTTGTTCATTCGAGAGAGAGAGAGAGAGAGAGAGAGAGAAAAAAAATGAATTCATTTTTGAATTCACATTCACACATTTCTACAGAACTTAATAGATTAAGCAAAGTATTAAAATATTATATATAAATTAAAATAAAAAACACTAACGCTGTAATAGAGTTCTAGAATTAATCAGTTTAGCAATCTTGAAGTGGTTGGCGATTAAAGGCGATGGCTTAACATTTTGTAATGACTTTTGCCTTGTATCCCACAGTGGCTGCTCGGCGCAGTATGCAGGACTGCTGGACAGCCCCTGGTCCAATGTGGTGGTTGCTCTGGACAATCTGGTTACCTCACACATACGCTCGGACAGCGGTATCATGACGACCATCAAGCAATTGGGCGGCAAGCTATCCGAGGCGATTATGAGCGCCATGGAGCATGGACCCGATCTAGAGAAGAAGGTAAGTGTAACGTTGAAGGCTGCATTTATAATTCGTCAAGTAACATTGCCTTAATTTATGAACATTTTTAATTAATTTTATGCTTAACCTTCAACGAGACGTTGCCGCCAAATATTTGAGGCATTTCGTGCACTTGTTTCCACTTACATACATGACTTTCAATTAAGGCAGAGCGTGTTCGTGGGTTTGGTGCAGTCACCAGCAGTCACCAGCAGTCGCCAGCCAGCCAGCCAGCTAGCCAGCCAGCCAGTGACATGACAGGCCAGGCCAGGCCAGGCTAGACTTAGACAGTTTGCTTGTAGATTCATTCAGATTCGTGTACGGCTGTCACAAAAAGCGCTGCATAATTGGCATGCTAAAGCGTTCCGATACACAAAGTCCCCATATATGCTAAATTATAATCTCGTATTTAGACGGGCAGCAACTGCAAGCAGAAGCTGCGAGCTGCAATTTACATGCAAGACGGCGTGCGCATTAAAAGCTAATAAACATAAAAGCCAGCAGCTGGCAGATCGGCCAATGGACTTTGCTTGAACTGCATTGGGCAGGGGGCTGGTTGGGCTGTTGGGGCATTGGAGGCATTGGGGGCATCGGGGGCAGGCTTGCACGTGCGCATGGCACGCATTGCATGTGTAGGAGCGATTATCAGACGGCATGCGCAGGAAGTATTAAGTAGAGTAGCATTTTTTTGTATATACATATACCTGTACATACTTATCTGTAAGCCACTTAATTGAGTTTTGGCACACTTGAAGCAACTGTAACTGACAGCGCTATTGGTCGCATCAATCAATTGCAGGTGAAGAAAACCTGTGGCGTGCCCAACTTGCTGCCCTCCGTTACCGCCGAGACGGAGGTGCGACCCACACCCCAACAGCATGCCGTGAAATGGGCCTCGCCCCCAGACGCGGGCATCGGCCGCTTCCTCAGCACCATCGACAAGTCCAAGGAGTTCTACGCGAACATAGTTAACAAGTGAGTTCACAAACATTTCAGCCAAACTGACGATGCCACCAGGCGCCAAATCTATATTTCAAGTCTCATTTATATGATTGTGGTTGTGCGTGTGCATGTGCATGTCCATGTGTGCGTGTGTCTGGGTGTATTTGTAAACAATGACCGACCTATGACCTCTGTGGGAGCAACCAACAAAACAACAATGACAATTTTGTAAATGCCCAACGTAAAGAGCCAAGGGTCTAAACAAAAATGTTGACCCAAGGCCGCCACCCATTCAGTTCCATTCCGTTCTCCTTCGCTACTTCCTGTCACGCACGATCTTCAGATTGAAGTCACGCAGTAGACTGAGGACATCCCTCAGCAGACAGACGTAGAGTGGCGTGAAGACGGCAATGAAGAAAACCACGTTGGTCCAGAAACCAATCTTCACAATTTGGCGACAGCCCTGCCAAGAAATCGAACTGTAGCAACGGAAATACTATATTTATGTAGATGAGATAACCACTTACGTTGCGATAAACCACCGGCGCGGGCCGAGCGATGCAGAAATTGTGCGCAATCTGATGGACAAATAATACAATTTCCTTAAACATTTTCTATGAATTTTTCCTAACGATCTTTAATACTTGATTATGTGAGTTGCCAAAAGGTTCTGAGACATTTATAGAGTCGGGCCAAAGTGACAGAACATGCCAGTTTTCAACGCTAACTAGATTCATCAATTGCATCAATTTCCATTTCCATTTCAATTCACAGCATTTGCGAGGACGAGGATATCGACCAGGGCGACCGTCATTGTTGGACAGGCGAACGCGTTGGTGACTACACGCAGATCCTCATTCAACCGGGCAGCGATTCTCAGCGCTACAATCCGGAAGTACCATTTGAGACGCAAGCCCAACCCAGCAAACTAAACGAACTGGTCGACAAGCTCATCAAAATACGCAAGAGCATTGGATCGGCGGTAAGTGGTCCTGAACGTATTTTTGGAGGGATTAGTAAGCCGAGATGCTATAGTCGGAACGTATACACTTATCTTATAACTTTGGAGGCCAAATAAGGGTTTCCTGAATATAATTTGTACAGTACGAGTAAAATATATTTAAAGAGCACCAAGTGTTTAGCTAAATAATGGGACCTACTTTTCTAAGGAAAGGATCAAATGGCATTTCATTGTCCTTCAACAATTTTATTTTGTTTCCCAAAACACGAAAGTACAGTGTAGCTTGAAAGTACAGTGTAGCTTCCCTCGCCCTTCCCAAAGGAATGTGTTGCATAGAAACTTTAAACTCAACTCGTGCTTGAATCAATCTTTGGATAACATAATGGTGTTAAATACGTCATGACTGAATTTGTACAAAAAAACATAAACTGTAGAGGCAGTTCTCCTTAGATTTATTTTTTTGTTTTACAACTTTGAAAGCGCTCTTCATAGGGAACTCGATGCTCCAGTTCCTTTAGATGAATTTTGATTCATTTAAATACCAAACTGGCTATCGGCAACAACAAAGTATTGAGACCGAAGCTTATTGCTGATATGTTAAATAAGTGACACTTTTAAAGATCTATTTATACATTTATGCATGGAATAGGAAGTAATTGTTTAACAATTTAGCAAGTTCTGAACATTTTATTAACTTGCAAATGTCTTGCTTTCTTGAAGGTTCCATCCAATACTCAGACACATGATATCCAGAGCGACATGGGACGTGAGGGTTCCGGCAGTCACATTAGCGATGATGATGAGGAGTACGGCAGCATGCATGGCTCCGGCGATGGTTCGGGTGATGGTAAGTGTGAAATGCCTAGAGAATTTTTCAAAACTCTATTCTAACTTGCATTTGCTTTTCCTTTTGCCCAGGATCCATTCAGGGCGTGTACAATCCCATTGGCACCACGTCCGGCCCCAACGATGTGGAGCCGCGTGACTCGCAGGGCGCCGCGCCCTCCGCCGCGACATTCAGCGCGACATGCCTAATCCTTACACTAGTCACAATACTCTACAGTAGATGTAGTTAAAGCAGCACCCCAAAACAAGAAACAGAGCTCGTGCACGCAATCCGACGCGAGTAATCATTATTATTATGTATCATTATTATTAGTTGTGTAATTCTTAAGTTGTTACAAGTAATTTATTACACCTAAGCCTAATCATTCAGCAATCTTAGCAAGCACATTGAATGCAAAGTGCAAAGTGCAAAATGCAAAATGCAAGTGGGTTCATATCGAATCGAAATTCTAGATGCATCCCAAGCATCCGCACTTCTAGCTGTTTTTCCCCAAGGTCGTCGAACTTCAACACAAAATCCCATTAGACTCTTGTGCCATAAAAGTGTTGAGAGTAGCGCGAAACCAAGTAACGGAGTAACAGAGAAATATTTGAATCGTAGTCACAAACTTCAACTTCAAGCAACACCTACCTACGTAATCCTTCCCATATACTATACATACCACATAGAAGAGACAGCAGTTTATTCAGATACATGCAATTACGATATCTAGCATATAGTATAAAGCGAATATACAATACATAACATAAAGCTCAAGCTCAAGTTCAAAGCAAGTTGTTCCTTTTTGGTGTAAAAATAAAAGTAATCGCATAAAGTAGTCGCGGCTATGGCACAAAATTCGAAAAGTTTTCGACATACAAGTAGTATGGTCACAAGTATGTATGGTTATTAAATATCAGAAGAAACAGATATACTACATAAGAAGACGAAGAAAGAAGAAGAAATACGTAAAATGCAGAATTTACAATAACAAAAATCGTTTAGCTATAGTACAGTAAATGTTAATTGCAAGTTTATTGTTGTCTACACCTTTGAACTGAAAATACGATTATAAATACGAATACGGTAAATATTGAAAGCAAATGCAAATTAATGGAATTTAGTTGGATAAACGCACTTTATGGAAAAACTAGAAGACTTACAGCTTTATACGCAAAACACAAACAAGAAATCTATGGACGGTTTATCTAAGTATATACGATTCTATACGTATATACTTATATATACAAGAAAATATATGTATACATACCTATATACGAGTATGTATGTATGTATGTATCTATCTATGTTTAAAATATATTGTATGTAGCATTATTTAAACTAATTTTTTGTATTTGAAGTGAACGAAACAAAAACAACTTGAGCTATTGTCATGAAATGAAGCATTAATTGACGCAAGTTGAACTCAAAGCACGCGATGCGTTGAAATACTGAAAACCCCCTTTCTCTCTAGAGCGGATTGTAAAATATTTGTTAATTTAAGTTACAACTACATGCGAGGAGGGGCTGAAACGCAAAAGTCAAGAAAGTGAGCAACGGCGAAGGTTTTTTCATTCCTGCTAACCATGTAATTCATAATTAGTATATACACACTATATATTTCAGATCCAGGGTCAATTCTTTAATGCCCTATTTCCAGATTCTAATAAGACTATGAACATCTCAACCAGATTTGTTCACTACAAGTAAATTTTAATCCCTTCTTCTGCATAAATTCTTCAAACAAGTTAGCTCAAATGACTCTGTCTCTTCCAAAAAAGAAAGAAATGCTATGAGGCTATCCTATTTCCTATTTTTCTAATATTTCTTACATATGATAATTATGAATCGCAGTTTAAGAATGACTTCTCCCTGTTCGCTCTTTTGGCATTCACATGTTTTTAACCCTCTTCTCGTGCCTAGTTAAAAGCAAATTATATTTGTTAAGAAGCTATAGCAATGGCTTCGCAATATATATTTTTATATTTCATGAAATCTTGACCAGCCAACGTCCCATGAAAAATTTAAATGCAAAGCTCACAACTCAAACTACTCGTATATGAAAGTCGAAGTTTTGTGTGGCTGAACAGTGCAAGGCATAAACATGGAAACTATTGTTGCAATCTAACAGATACTTTAAAGTGTTAGAACGCGCTGCAAAATAAAAAAAAGCAATGCGCCTCAACGACACTCTAAATAATAAATATATATAAATAAATGAATAAACATAAATATGGAATATGCAGCGACTTTAAACGGCATGCATAAGTGCTAAGTTTAAAAAAATATATATATATACATACGAGGATAAACATTTACGAACTAAACAGAAATCTATTGAATTAGCGCGTAAACTGTAACAATTTAGTGTGTAATTTGTAAAAAGCAAATGTTTAATGAGAATTGAAATTTAGTTAGTAGCAAATTAACAAATGAATGAGAAAACACAACAACAAATTGTCTACATATTGGATTTCTAGCAACTAATTAATAAAATACAACATAGGAAGCAAAAACAACAACAACAGCAGCCAACCACTTCATTGGACAGCGTTCATGTGTGTTAAAAACTATGATTATATTTTATTATCATTATTATTATTTGTAACTATTGCATGTGATTAATAATATTTAAGTTAATCGTAAACATAACATATTACATCGTAACTTATGTATACCGCAGCAGCAACAGCAACACAACAACAACAACAACAGCAGCAGCAGCAACAACAAACTGTACGACAAATTAGTAGTTGCGCGGCTGTTAAAATCAATTCAATTGCACAAAAAATTAAATGTACTACTTTTTAGGCGCATACAAAAAATACAAATAAAACTTATGTAACAAAAACGCAAGTCTAAACATTTATTGACATACTGACGAAGCATTAGTGGCAATTTAAATGGAAACCGTTTTATATCTTTTAAAACATTTGAGAATCACAATAAACCTTCCTTTATATCAAACAGACAGAAAAAACATTGAAATACCGTTGGGAGGAGAAAGTTATTTGTCATCACAGTTCACGAACTCATATAAAATTGTTATAATTATTATTAATTATTTATTTTGAAAGTTTAAGAATTTTATTATTATTTTTATCAGTGTAGAAACTAACGCGCCATCTGGTTAGCAGGAAAGTTACCATTAAGCACAAATTTTGCCAAACATCAGATGGCGCCACCGTCACTGTGTAGCCACTTTCTATAGTAAAAACAGCCTGGCAGCGCTTCAAACTTTTGGCGCGAATAGCGCATAACGCGGACTTCCCTAAGCAGCTGTCGTGCATTTTGTTATTGCAAGCGAAAAGGCAAACATCAGTCGTGAGCATTTTCACCATTTATTATAAAGATATTAGACGCTGTACTATTTAATATCACCACAATAAAATGGCACGTCGAGACTACGCTCAAGACAAAGGTAAGGAAAAGCGGAATATTAAGTGAAAATTGAAATGTGTATGTAAAATGTCGTGCAGAATCCATCAAGACCTTTTTGTCGGAATTCTGCCAGACGGACGATGATGGCAAAAAAAATTTTGTATATGGCACGCAGCTGGTGAAGCTGGCGCATCGCGAGCAAGTACTTATCACCATCGATTTGGACCACTTGGCGGAGTTCAATGAAAGTCTGGCCGAGGCGGTCATTGCCAACTGCCGTCGCTATGCAACCATTTTCAGCGATGTGATCGCAGAGCTGCTGCCCAGTTACAAGCAGCAGGAAGTGCACGCCAAGGATTCACTGGACGTGTATATTGAGCATCGTCTAATGATGGATGCACGCACGCGCAATCCCCTCGAGCAGCGGGATGAGCACAACAGCTTTCCACCGGAACTGATGAAGCGATTGTAAGTAAACAACGTAAATTTCCATATAAAAAGTATGGGAATTAACTATTTGTTTAAATAGCGAGGTGGGATTCAAACCAATGTCCACGGAGAAGGCGCAATCCATTCGCGAGGTGAAGGCCCAGCACATCGGCAAGCTGGTCACAGTGCGCGGCATCGTCACGCGGTGCACCGAAGTAAAACCCATGATGGTGGTGGCCACATACACCTGCGATCGTTGCGGCGCCGAGACATATCAGCCCGTCAACTCGCTGACATTCACGCCCGTGCAGGAATGCCCCTCGGATGATTGTCGTGTCAATAAAGCCGGCGGTCGATTGTATCTGCAGACACGTGGTTCCAAGTTCGTCAAATTCCAGGAGCTAAAGATGCAGGAGCACAGCGACCAGGTGCCCGTGGGTCACATTCCAAGAAGCATGACGGTCATGTGTCGTGGCGAAGTAACACGCATGGCTCAGCCTGGCGACCATGTGCTCGTCTCTGGCGTTTTTCTGCCCATGGTTCGCACCGGGTTTGCGCAAATGATTCAGGGTCTGCTTTCGGAGACGTTCCTGCAGGCGCATGTAAGTGAGCCGCTTTGACTTTGCAAAGACTATTCAATACCATTACCTTTTATCGGCAGCGCATTATCTGCATTAACAAGAACGATGACCTTTCTGACAAAGAATCTGAGCTGACGCCAGAGGAATTGGAGGAACTGGCTCAAGATGACTTTTATGAGCGTCTGGCTACTAGCTTGGCACCCGAAATCTATGGCCACCTGGACGTAAAGAAGGCCCTGCTGCTGTTGCTTGTTGGCGGTGTGGACAAGCGCCCCGATGGCATGAAAATTCGTGGAAATATAAACATCTGTCTCATGGGCGATCCTGGTGTGGCCAAATCCCAGCTGCTGGGCTACATCAGTCGCCTGGCACTGCGCTCACAGTACACGACTGGTCGTGGTTCCTCGGGCGTAGGTCTTACCGCGGCCGTCATGAAGGATCCTCTCACCGGCGAGATGACCCTCGAGGGTGGCGCTCTAGTGCTTGCGGATCAGGGCGTCTGCTGTATTGATGAGTTCGACAAGATGGCCGATGCCGATCGTACTGCGATTCACGAGGTCATGGAGCAGCAGACAATCTCCATTGCCAAGGCGGGCATTATGACAACCCTCAACGCCCGTGTTTCAATTCTGGCCGCTGCCAATCCGGCCTTTGGCCGCTACAACCCACGCCGAACTGTAGAACAGAACATTCAGCTGCCTGCTGCCCTGCTCTCCCGTTTCGATCTGTTGTGGCTAATCCAGGACAAGCCTGATCGGGACAATGACTTGCGTCTGGCCAAGCACATCACCTATGTGCACAGCCATAGCAAGCAGCCGCCGTCTCGCATCAAGGCCCTGGACATGAATCTCATGCGCCGCTACATTAATCTGTGCAAAAGAAAGCACCCCACCATTCCGGACGAGCTCACCGACTACATTGTGAACGCCTATGTGGAATTGCGTCGGGAAGCACGTAATCAAAAGGACATGACGTTCACATCAGCTCGCAACTTACTCGGAATTCTACGCCTGTCCACGGCACTGGCTCGCCTGCGCCTCTCTGATCGTGTGGAGAAAGATGACGTGGCCGAGGCATTACGCCTCCTGGAGATGTCCAAGGACTCACTGAACCAAATACACGAACACCAAAAGGGACAGTGAGTAGCACGACAATCGATTCACATTAATTTGAGTTTAACACACGTTTTTCTTTACAGCATTCCCAATACCTCGGATCGCATTTTCGCCATTGTGCGCGAGCTGGCCGGCTCGGGCAAGGCGGTAAAGATCGCCGACATCATGGACCGCTGTACGACAAAGGGCTTCAAACCGGACCAAGTTGATAAGTGCATCGATGACTACGAGGAGCTCAACGTGTGGCAGGTCAATATGGGACGCACAAAGATTACGTTTATGTAATGCTTCTATCTTTTCAATTCGTATCTTTTTAATTATTTCTATGTACTAGCCCGTAAGCTCATTCATTTAATTTAGACACAAACTGTTCATTAATAATTATAATTCATTGCCATCAACGAGAACAGTGCCGTTTTTTAAAGTCCAATGTTTTGAAAATGCACTGTAAATAAAAACTATGAGAGAAAATCCATACATAATTATTATATTTTACACTATAACTATGGATTTACTGGTGGAATTAGTTTAACGATCCATTCGATGCGTTGCAATTTGATTATCAATCCAGGACATTCTGTGAGTGGTTTAATATGATTACGATTTGCCAGAAACGAATTTTCGAGCTACATAATATTGATATTGATGGCATTAATTGAAATTATAGGTATATGAAGGTAGTCTATAATACAAATATTGTATAGTCGACATATAGTTCGTTATAGACCCTCAGTTGCAGTTCCAGATCTTGGCACCTCTTGTCCTTTCTAGAGAAAACATATATTTGGTCCATGTTTTGCCTTCCTAGATATACACTACATATATCGAGAACTAAGTCATTATTCTGTGTATACATACTGTGTACACATACACGTACTCCGTGCAGATTGGAGATTTCCATTCTAATGAGATCTACAGACATCCATGAGTCATTTTTGCTAAAATAAGTATTTTATTGATTTACAAAAAATACATAATTTAAACGGTTTTTTTTTTTTTGTTTTTTGTACACACGACACTTAGTTATGTATGTATATACAGCAGACATCGGTAACTATGATAGTGCATACGTTTAACAATTTTATTTATCGTATTTGCCGATTTTCTCGCATTCGCACATGCACGGCAAAGCTCTTGCAATGCTTTTGTTTCTTGTTCTATATGAACATAATAATTAGATATAAATTTGATAATTGTACTTATAAGTAGTTAGGTAGTATTATGAACTTTGCTGCCAGCGTAGTTTGTGAAATCTTAAGTACCACAGCATTGAAGAAGGTTTAACAGATTAATTTTTTTTAGCATACACACCACTTGTGTTTAGCATATATGTACATACATATGTACATATTTGCATACATATGGGCATCTTTAGGTGTTGTATGTGAGAAGCAACAACAGTGACATTAAACATGTACATAAAATAATGAAAGGCTCGAACAGCTAAAGGGGCAACCCCTTTCTACTCAACTACTGAGTGCGAACTTCTCGGCTTTAGCTACATTTCTGACATACATATATGTGTACCTAACTTTTTAAATTACTTTTGTCGCCCTCTGCGGACTAAGTTGCGCTATTTAACGTAATAACTAGAGAAACACTAACCCATAAAAAGTCCGCATTGATTTATGTGTGTGTCTGTGCTTCATCGAACAAAAAAGAATAAACATCGAGGAGGACTTTCTATCTTCTCACCTCCATCACCTCCTTTAGTCAAACACATATTTACAAATAGACCGGCACTTCGTTTTTAGCGGCCTTCAGGCTTAGTAAAAGAACAGGAGACGCTCCTGCGCCGGGGCCGAGAGCAAGCGCCAGGTGCGCTTGATGCTAACATACTGGATGATAGCACGGACGCATATTAAGAAGCCAAAGGCCATGATAAGCCACCACAACCAAGTGTTCTCGTGCGAGGCCAGATCCGTGGAGTGCTTCACAATGAGCGTCCACTTGGCCAGCGACAGCCCGAAGCCGGAGAGGGCACCGTAACGAGCCGCAATTGTATGACAGAAGCAAGTGAGCATCAGAAAACCGATCCAGTTGAAGAGAAAGGCCACCATGAAGGCCGTGATGAACATGATGTCTGTGCCCAGCAGATTGTCTGTAGTGGACAGACTATTCTCTGGGTCCGATGCATCGATGGCAATGAATGTGAGTGCCGGTTGAGCGGCACGTACGGCGGCAGCACCATCGCGTAGCGGATTCGGCGGCAACAATGGATTCGGCGGCGGTGGCAACTGCTGTGTGTTGGACAGCGTGAGGAATGCGGGAGGCAGCTCTCCGTTTAGTGACTTCTCCATTTGCACCTCCTCGTAGGTGGGCAGCTTGCCGTGCAGCTCCTGCGACAGCTGTTGTGCATTGTGCTCGACCAGTGCATTGTCCTGCTGCTGTGCCTCCGAAGACGCGTGAGAGGTCAGCCCCAGTGAGGGCAACTGAGGCGGCAGCGCTACTTGCTGACCGCCAGTATAGATCGTGGCGGGCTCATATGGAGGTGGAGCGCTAAAGTCAGCCTTTGGTGGGCCCAATTGATCGTCTCCGCCACCACCGCCTCCTCCGTTGGATCGTTGATTATTTTGCGGCATGTCTACAAAGAAAGGCAGAAAATGAGCTAGTGATTAAAAATTAGTAGGCATGATGAGCGTATCGACCACAATTAAAGATCCTTGTAGATGATATTAAAGGGCTTCAGCGAATTCAGTTTTCATAACTTTGATAGTCAGAATTCTTTGGGGATTAATGACAGTCTTCTCTCGTAAGTTTGAAAAAAATTTAAATACATAAGAAAATCAAAGCAGTGCAAGTAGAAGTTTATTATGATGATATATACTTGTATAGTATTATATTACCATATAATATTCTAAACAATGGAAATTGATTATTGGAGTCACCCAGCAAATACGAATTGATAAGATATGAAGGATGAACTTCTTTCCTAAGTTGATCATGGAGATTAATACAAATCGAATCAAAGCTATTAATAGATGGGCATAATTGTTGCTAGTTTCCCCAATCGAATTGACTTAAAATATATAAGAATGTCACAAACGACCTATTTTAAAGCTTTAAGAATTTGAGGGTATTTTACGGAAATATCAGATACTTGACAACTTAATAAGCTCTGTCAAGAGATCTATTTTAATTTTACATAAGTAAGGTTGTGCTTAGTTTATATATTTTAAACAAAGATATTTGGTTTTAGTGAAACAGTTACTGGTACTGTTTTTCTTTTCGTTTTTATTAACATTATTAGTTTACGTGGCGTTTGGTGAATAATATAATTAATAAATAATTAGTTTAAATACATTTGTAGTATATGCGACTGGTTCAGAAAATTGCATTGCATTATCAGTAGACAATTTGATAAATAATTGAATTAAAAGTTATCAGCTACAAATCCTTTCAATCGTGAGCTGCTCGTCAGTTTACAATTGTTTCGTCAGTTTATAATTGTTTCGAAAAGGCACTTATAACAAACAATAGGCAAAGGCGTTAACGTTGTTAAGACGCTGTGCGGCTTTCGTCGTTAGGGCAAATAAAAAATAACTTAAAAATAAAATTATGTAATAAAATAAGCGGTTAATCGTTTTAATAAAACATTGCTCGTTCGTTAAAGTTCAGTGCTTGTTCAGTGCCTGGAAGGCCTCCTCCAGTGTTAGGATTCGATCCGGTCGAAATGGTCGTCGTGGCGGAAACGGCTGTGTCATGCCGTCGACCACATCCATGCCGGCATTCTCACAGGCAAGATCGCCGACATCGGTGCCGCTATCGTGTAGTTCCTTCTTTTTACGACTCTCTTTCCGCAGGCACCATATAATTAACATGGCCATGAGGATAAACGCCAGTGTGGAACCACTTACAATGCTCGCCTTCTCCAGCATCACGCGACTTCGTGTGGGCAGGTACGAGCCATCGATTTCCTTGTACTCGCAACGCGGTCCCATGTAGCCAAGCGCGCATTCGCAGTTGTACAGAATCTCATTATGGATCTCCACGGTGAAGCAGGTGGCATCGTTTAGACAATACCAGGCGGCATATGTGGGCGGACAGTTCAAGATGGGAAACGTTATGTTCGGCCTGGGTGGGCCTTCTGCCACATTTTCGGGCGGAAGCGGCGCGACTGTTGAGCTGGTGGTAGTGGTTTGCTCCTCGGGACGTGGTCTGGAGCTGGAACGTGGGTAGCAGCCTTGGGTTAGTGGGGTGCAGGCAATAATCGTGCAAGCAAGAGCAAGCAGCAGGCGTTTGGACGGCAAAGGCAGCATCGGCGGCAACATCATTGTCAAATTTCTTTCAGTTCCTACTTGCTTTTAATGCTGCATCATGGCAGTGAAGTTTCAGTTTTTAATCCTTTGATGCGGGGAATGTTTCTCTGAAGGTGTGTGTGTGTGTGTGTGTATGAATGAGGTGTGTGTTCTTGTTTGGCTGGAATATTTGTTGGCTGACAGGCAGGCCCAGTCTTGTGTTTGTTTCTATTCTCTGGTGTTGCTGAAAATCAAAATGGCAGTGCATTAAAATAAACTCAATAAGTAAAAGAAAAATTATTATAGGTGTGAGTGTGTGTTTCTGTACGTGTTTGCGTGTGTTAGAGCCTGCCCGCCAGCCAGCTCGCCCTTCCTCTTCCTGCCTCTCTAATACGAAGCTGTCGCATGTGTCGTTCCCCGCCCGCCTATTTGGGCTGACTTCGACCTAAGTAGAAGATAACAAATCAGCTCATTAATGAAGTAGAGTACAGGAAAAGTTAAGAAACATTGTCAATTACACGGGTTATTTACCTGAGAGCTGAGCTGGACTTCTTATTTGCACAGTTTGTGCTTCACATATCTGCCTTATGTTCATTGTTTTCATATTGTTTTATAAATATGCAAGCACATATTTTCGGGTACGTGTTAAATTTTTACACAAATAAAGACACACACGCTAATGTTATAACTTGATTTTGTTCGGGCCTGACGCGTTTCAAGCACATGAACTTAAATGTGTATGGATATATACATACATACATATGTATATACTATAAATTAAGTATACATATGCCCTGTCGTATACGCCGGGTCTAGGCTAACAATTTGATAAAATTGTTACTCTGTTTGTTTTATCAATAATATTATCTATTAATGTAATTTACAAATTGATGGAAAATTTATGAACAATTTTCAGAGGAACTTCAGGTGGGCTTATTAATATGAAATGACTTCCATTTAATAATAAGCAGCTGAGAGTGCAGTTATTGTTTGGCTGTCTAAGAGAGACACAATAGGGAATCAAATAAAAGTACTTGCAATTATATTAATTGCAATATATTAGATGCAATGAGGTGAATCGTTTTTTCATAGTTTTTGCTTAGGGAACATCAGTTCCATTATGTTCACACCAGCTTATCAAACGGCTGATTCTCATAATGTGCAAATAGTACTCTGTCTGTTTCACTATATAGTATAACAAAAAATATTTGAGCCCACGTATTGTAGGTAGAGACTCCAAAATTCGCTTCAATTCGCTATTGAAAAGAATTTTCAAATATTAATTAAGTTCTCATTAATATGTTTAAACTTTATTTTTGCTAAATTAACAACATCGAGGAATTCCTCCAAGAAGTTACTCTAACTTTCACAATAATCAAAGTAAAAGAACTTGAATTTTGGAAACTCTTCCGTAATGATGTCATAATTAAAAACAAATAAAAATACAAGTAAGTTCAGACTTCCCGAATTCATGAATATCACATATTCTAAATAAATGCCGCACACTGTGCGCAGCTTTTAATTAACTAAAAATGTCAGAGCCACATCCACTCCCTAAGCTAATGGGGCTGCTTACCTGTTGGCAGGGTCCGAGTCCTTGAACTTAACAGTCGGCGTGCGACTCACTCAGAAGACACACACATGGGACAGAAATAGCATGACGCTGCGCGAAACAAACTTTGACGCTTCTGACAGCCAACTGTGAGCTTCCAATGCGTGCAAAATGGAAAGTACTTGAGTGCAGACGGGCCACAAACAAGAGCAATTAAGTTGACCTTTAGGCAATTGAGTAACTGAATATCTCGGGTACTGACTCGAGTTGACTTGGTGCGTACTTGTAAAAGACCACAACACAACTAAAAATAGTCGAAATCAATCAAGAAGTGTGTCGTATACGCTGTTGAGACTCGAGGCCTTTGGGCTGGGCCTAATTTGCACAGACCTCGCACGCAAATGAGTAGTTTGTGAATATACGAGCATGTGGGTGTGAGTATGAGTGTGTGCCGGACAAATAAAGGCATTCAAAAAAGAAACTAATGTCTAAATAACCATTTCTGTATAATTACAGTCTGGCTTCTTGACGACGAATACCCCGCGTAGATATCAGCGGTCGCAATACATATGTACATAAATAAAACGCTATCTTCAACGCTTCATTAGATTACAAAAAAGTACATAACCTTGCAAAATTCTTTGAGCGTTAATGTTTTGTGCAGCTCTACTTGTATAGCAGAGCTTTCACATTATTAGATTTATTTTGAGCGAAAATATAATTTTATGATTAAACTCAACACGACTAATGTGCCTCCTACGCAAGAACATAATGAACTCTATCGATTATAATAAAGTTCAATAATATATATACATATAGGAGTATGTAATTGCTATCATTAGAATCAAATAAATGGTGTTTCAGCGAGGTGCAAGCTTTTACAATATTTATGACAATCATTATTTTGTAATTTATGAATCTGTTAATAACGTAAGTTTTATTTACACTTGCTTGTGCTTAAAATGTAAAACAATTATTGTTCTTATGGAAGTTTTTATATATCCACAATGCTATTGGTCCGAATATCGCATTCCGATCTTCAATTTAGTTCCGATATACAAAGTATATATACATACTATACTATACAGTGTTTCAAACATTATGGTGGCTGATCGTTGCTATGGCAGTACATATACATAGTATATACATAATGTATGATCCGATGCATACTCTTTCTAATCATTAGATATATCCGCAAACTTGGACAACTAGCTTCCAATCCGATCTTCCGATGTTGTTCAAATGCAGAAAAAGCGCAAAAGTTTTTAAGCTCGAGATAACTAGCAAAATCACAAATCGATAAAATGGGAACTTCCCAGCCAAAAATAAAGCCTCTAAATAATTTTCAAGTATGACTTTTTTTAGTCTAGCCGTGAAAACTTAGTTATACAATGAAAAGGTACAGTAATTCGGTGCGTCAACGCTTTTATCATGGAAAAGAGCTTGTTGCCTTGCTATTATTGATTTGCAGAGCGCAACAATAGCAGATTCGAAAGATAATCGGCACCAGCACAAAAACAATGAGTGTTATTGATAACAAGCCCACACAGTCTAAGAGTGTGGAACGCTCATTACCATGAGTCATGTGGCTGGCATAGTGAGTGAAAAATGGTAAATAAAATATTGCAAGTATGCACGAAATCAGCAGTTCGAGTATGAAAAATAAACGCTTTGCGCCCGTATGGGGCGCCAAGGGGAGCTAAGCCGTATGACTTGTGCATGTGTGTTTGTAAGTACACAAATGTATCTGTGTTTGTGTCCGTAGAGAAAGCCAACGTGCGCGTGAATAATCAAGTGTTAAAAATTAGCTTACAAAAAAAAGAAAAAAATACTATATACACACTATACAGCGTAGTTAGACGGCCCGAGTTTCTTTTTTTTTGCGTGTTGATAAGAAATTTTAGGCGACGCGACAACAATACATTAACGACAATAGAGACTGTCCAGAAGTAAGGGCTGGCAGCTGGCGATGATGACAATGAGGACGGCTGCGTGTCAACTACAGCAGGTGTGGGTTGTTTATGCAGCAACATACAGTTGAGCTTCGCTAATTTGAAATCGGCCAAGAATATTTTCAAATTACAATATACTTAAGAGCAGCTCAAGGAATGTTATTGTATTTTTAATATATAATGTAGAAAATGTGTCCAACACCAGTTCAATATATCAATAGTATTGTTATCAACTTTTCGATAATCATTCACAATTAAAGCAGTAGAACTGGCGATTCAATTTATGGAAGCTCAACTGTATTGTACACATGTACATATGTACATACAAATGCGGATGCGCCCTAAACCAGTTAAACAAGGCAACCAAGAAAAGAAGCAGCGCGTGCAACAAACAAAACTCCGAATAGAAATGTAGCAGCAAAACAAAGGAGAAGCAAACGAAGCGGAAGCTGTGTGAATGAAGGCTTCAAGTAGCTGCGGCTTCCGTCTTCTAGATGCAACAGTGACGGGAAGTTGCAGGGCAGCACGCATTTAGGTTGCAAGGCAACACTGAAAAAACTTGAATGAACACACACACACACTTATACTGTTGCATTATGCAAACAGGAGGGGCGGAGCGTTGCAGCAAGATTAAGAACGAGAACAGAAACAAGTTTTGCAGCGCAAACAGACAACAGTTGCGTTTGTTGCTCTTGTTGTTATTGTACAAGGGCAAATAAATTAATTTACTTGTGTAAATATGAATTAGTAAACAAGTACGTTTCAGCGTTATTGCTCCACTCACAATACACACACAAGAGGCAAGCGCACAGACATAAACAAGCGCTTATCACAGTGTTAAATATTTAGCACTTGCTTGCAAAATACCTGCTGATTACAATTTAATAAACAACACTTGCTAAATAAACTTATACACACACACCCACAAGATTATTGCTCCCCCGGAGCTTCTTTGCGTTGGCACTGTGATGTAGACATATCTATTTCTGTACTCAATTCTCAATAAGCCCCCATTTCTTTGTATTATAACTATTACAGCAATCAAATCGCTTTTAAATTTTTGTATGTATGCATGTGTGTTTTCTATTTATTCACCTTCTTTAATGCGTTGAACTCGCTAGTTTTGCGCACTCTCCGTTTTCTTTCGTACTGTTGTATTGATTTACCAAAATAATGCACAACACACTGCGAATACTGTTAGTTTGTGTAATTATACCGAATGTGAGAAGTATGTAGGTGTTTCGTTTAAGCACTGGTTACTTAATTTACATAATTCATTTACTTTGCGTAGGAACGAAACAAATTAAACAATCTTTTTCCGTCCCGCGACTTAACTACGCCAACAATAATGCACCGAATAATATCTGGAGCTCAAACACATTGTCGATTAATTTGCTATCGTTACCTTCGATAGGTGATTCCATCAGTCGGAAATTTCAGTGCTGGAAAGTGTTGCGCCAAGCAGCTGGTATTTTAAGTGGCGGAATTTTACAAAAACACAACAAAATATAAGTTTTATTTTATTGCATCAATTTTTTTTGCACATCAGTGCAAAAATTTTATCAATGTCCTTGAAGCGAAGCAAGCAAATCGATCTGGTTGAAGATGATGCGAGCAATGCCAAACGCTGCACAAAGCTGGATATTTGTGAGAAAATGGGAACCAATACGGACTCGTGCGACAGCTTCGATTCTAGCATCAACCAGCATGATTTAGTAACCGGGGATATAGTGACAATATGCGACAGTAGTAGCAGAGAATCCTTGGAATCGAATCTTTCACTGTTCACGCTCTCGCTATTGCATAAAATTAGTGAAGAAACTAAAAGGACGGAACGTCATGCGCAGGGCGGTAATGGGATTGATTTATGCGAAGATGGAGTCGAAACTAATAAGGAAATTAATAACATGAAGGAGTTGACTAGCTTCGAAATGCAAAATATGTTTTGGGATGACGACGAGATAAGCATCGAAATCACTACTAAGGGAGAGGAATTAGAAAATCAGCTTCTTTTTAAAAATACCATTGATGTAGAAAAAGAAACTGAACCATTAGAGCCTGTAGAAATACAATTTTCAACACAACAAGAGTTTGACATAACTGCAAAACTAGATTGGAAGACCGAAATGCGTACTGATATAGTCTGCGAAGATCCTCAGGCATCAGAAAACGCAAATTCCAAAGAAGTACTTGAAGTACCACTCCCAGAAATGGCTAAAATTAAAATATGAAACGCTTTTTTCAGACAACTTATGGGCCAAACAGTAAGCAACTAGATCCAGAAGAACAAAATTTATTACGACAAAAAGAGTTGGAGATAATAGGGGAACTAGATTGGGAGACGCAAGCATTTACTGAGTTTCAAGACATTCCTGACAATGGTGATTTCTATGGGCTATCTAGCAGAGTAAAGGAATTGATATTTGAATACAAAGGTATTCAAAGCTTATATGGTAACTATATGAAATGCCGTGGGATGCAGGTTCAGATATTAAGATTGCATTTTTTTCAGAATGGCAGGACGAATGTCTTAGGTTGCCGGCCATAAGGCAGCGGAAGAATCTAATTTATGCTTTGCCCACGAGTGGCGGAAAAACGTTGGTTGCAGAGATTTTGATGCTGCGTGAGATGCTTTGCAGAGACAAGAATGTTCTTTTTGTCTTGCCTTATGTATCCATCGTACAAGAGAAGGTGAATCGAAATAGGCCTTAGGAGTGTCGACAACTCAATATCTAAAAATGCAAAACAGGTTAGTGCAATGGCGCCGTTTGCCATCGACTTGGACTTTATTGTGGACGAATATACCGCCGGAAAAGGCAGATGCCCGCCCGCCCCACGTCGTAAGCGTAGGAGCTTATACATAGCTTCGATTGAAAAGGCCGTCGTGCTCATAGATAGTCTCATCGAAGCAAATCGACCGCAAGAGATCGGACTAATTGTAGTGGACGAACTTCATTTGATTGGAGAGCGTGGACGTGGCGCATCATTGGAGGCTCTTCTTGCAAAAATAATGTTCCTTAAAGGTTAGAATGCTAAAAGTATAATTATTAATCTATCTATCTATAAATAGAAAAACATACTTACCCGGTTTAAGAGCATATCATCTTAGAATTGATAATTTATCTACATTTTTGTTTTCAGCAAGCATTCAAATTGTTGGAATGAGCGCTACCATTGGTAATATTAACGAAATCTCGACATTCCTCAATGCCGATGTCTATATGCGTAGTTTTAGACCTGTGGAACTGAAAGAATACATAAAATGCGGTCGCGACTTGCTGGAAATAAATACCGAGAAACAAGCGTTGGAAGACATTTTCGTTTATAGCCGTACAATCAATAGCAAAGTAATTATTGACGAACTGGGTTCCTATGTAAGCTAATTCTCTATCTTGCAGTACAGCAAAGCCGTGGCACGTGAAGATCCCGATCATCTGGCTGGCCTGGTCACCGAGTGCGCTCCTGAAAACTCCTGCCTTATTTTCTGCCCAACGCGAAAAAACTGCGAGAACGTTGCACAATTGCTCAGTCGCATATTGCCGAAGAAAAAGTTCGTCGAACACTGTAAAGGTGAGAAGGCCGAGCTGATGGATGCCTTGGACAAGATTTGTGGTGTTCTTAGCCCGGTGCTGGCACGTACCTTGCCCTATGGCATAGCCTACCATCACTCAGGCCTAACAACGGACGAGCGCAAGTATATAGAAACGGCCTATCGCTTTGGAGTAATCTCTGTCATTTGCTGCACATCGACGCTGGCTGCGGGCGTAAATTTGCCCGCCAAGCGGGTGATAATACGTGCGCCCTATGTGGGCCAGGAATTTATAACTCTTTGCAAGTACAAGCAAATGGTTGGTCGTGCTGGACGCGCCGGCATGGGAGATGCTGGTGAGAGCATCTTGATTACCAAGGATTGTGATAACGTAAAGGTTAGGGAGCTGCTGCTCTCGCCGATGGACAAGGCATTAAGCTCGCTGCATCATCAGAACGCAGTCGGCTTACAGGTGAGTCAAAGCGAGATATACATTTAAGTTTGTAGATTTGATATACATATATAATTCATTTTCAGACGCTTATTCTCAGCATTATTGGCCTAAAATTGGGAAACTCCCGTCGTGATCTTTCTCGGTTGATTAAATGCACTTTACTTTCAGTGCAAGCCACTGAGTTGGATGTTGAAACGGAGGAACTGGTGGTGATGATTCTCCAGGAAATGATTAAAAACAATGTCCTGTTCGTAACTGAGGATCTATATCAAAAAAGTCTACAGCTAACTACAGATTGTCGATTATTCATCAGTCAGACGACACGTTTTGAACTGACCAAGATAGGCAGAGCAGCTTTCAAGGCGGGAATTGATTACAAACGCGCCATCTCCCTTCACAAGGAACTAATGCTGGCGCAGAACCACCTTATTCTTTCAAACTATTCCCACTTACTCTATCTCATTGTGAGCTGCAATTCGAATGAGCAGGGGGATGAATTTTTTAAAGCCGAAGCGGACATTCTCTTTCGTCTCTACAGCGAGATCTCTCCGGAGACTCAGGCGCTGTTCAGCCTGCTGGGCTTTAACGAAGCACATGCCGCTAAGCTGGCAAAGACAAAGTCTATTCAGGGTCCGCTGGCATTGCAATTAAATCGACTCTACAAAGTACTAATTTTAATGGAAATACTGGATGTTGGTTCATTGCCGGAGGTAGCAAATAAGTTTGATATTGAACGTGGCACATTGCAGCAATTTATTAATCAGTCGAATGCGGCGGCAAGCGCACTTGTGCGTCTTTGCCAAGAGATCGGAGAATTTTGGTGCTATACACCTCTTTTCGAGCGCATAAATGAGAAAATGGATCGTTGCGGCACCATTGAACTTGAGCCATTGTTGGAGCTGCCTGCTGTGAAAATTGTGAGTAAGCTAACTATATACTTTTATATTTTGGCTCAAAGAAATTAAAATGTTATAGAATCGTGCCAAACAGCTCTACGCTGCGGGCTTCCACACTATCGGGGACATTGCTAAGATATATCCAAAAACGCTTGTTAACGCTGTGGAACATATGCCATATAAAATTGCTACTGAAATTATAGCTGCAGCTAAGGTATGTAGATAGAAAAAAATCAATTGCACATTGATTTATATATGTATATACATATATTACAAAATTGTATTATTACTAGATTATTTTAATGAAGAGACTGGATCATTTAGAAGAAGAGACTGAGGCCTTGAAGTCGTGCCTACTCAGCGACGATGACACAAGCAATGATTAAATGAATTGCAGCTAACTTCTATATAACTGTAATATATGTACAAATATTAAGTTTAGTTTCATATTTTTTTTATTAAATTTAAGTCTCAACAGTAAATAAATAATTAGTATCAAATGCTTACAAGCTAATTTCAAATTTATCAGCTGTTAGTGTTGAAAAACAATGAATCTCAAATTCTCGTTGCAACCTCTCGTTACTTATGCAAGTGGCGAGATTAGCTGTAAACAACGACGTGGTTAATTTAATAAATATTTAGTTCCATTAAAAAAGTGTTCATCATGCTAAAATACACTATACTTGCGCTCGTGGCTGTCAGTGTGAGTTTCCGCCTAACTCTTTTTAAAATGAAACATTTAAATATCTAATTCTTTGGCAGTGTCACCACATAAACGCCGAATTCACGGTTGCCGACTGCCGGGACTTGGGATTTATTAAAACACAGCTGATGTGCTCTAGTTGTGATAAGCTCGATGACTTTGGTCTGGAGACACTGAAGTAAGTGCCTCCCTCCACTGCCATTTCCATTTCCTTGCTAACCCAGCTGCCAATACACAGGCCTCATTGTAAACAATGCTGTACCCAGGACCAACAGCCCGCGGCACAAAGAACCTATGCTAAAGCTATTCTGGAGGTATGCACCTGCAAGTTCCGCGCTTATCCACAAATACAGGCCTTCATACAGAGCGGGCGGCCATCAAAATTCCCCAATCTGCAAATAAAATATGTGCGTGGATTGGATCCCATTGTGAAGTTACTTGATGCCAGCGGCAAGGTGCAAGAGACACTGTCCATAACCAAGTGGAACACTGACACAGTCGAAGAGTTCTTTGAGACGCATTTAGAGAAAGTGGGTGCCAGCAGCAAGAACTCTTATAGCGTTGTCGAGGAAGTGGATGACGATGACGAGGAAGATTACCTGAGAACAAATAGAATCTAAATTTTCTACTCTAGATTTGTTAGCGTAAAAAATTAATTCGATAATGGAAAAGTAAGGATCATTCACTGTATTTTAAATTATAATAAAGTGCGAAAACCCGTTTAGTGAATAGAAGATCAAATGTCAAATTAGCGACCAACGCACAAACAGCTAGGAAGCTGCAATTTAGCAAAAGTTTCCTTTCACAAACAAAATTGAATCCATGCACGCATATGTACATACATATGTAAGTATGTAGGTAGATACCGCCTGCACCAAAAAAATAAAATGTATGTACATATTTACATACATACACACATATCTATGTACAGAGGAGGGCGGCCACAATATTTAAATTTAATTTATCAGAAAATGCAAAATTTAAGGTCACAAACTTATTATTTAATTTTTTAGAAATTTCACTAATTAATTCTCGATTTGCCAGCGCTTAGGTACTTGGTATGAGAATCGCGGAGGAGGGCGCCCACAATATTTTTATTTATTTTATGAAAATTTTCAATATTTAATTCAACAATATTATTATTAATTTTTTCAGAAATTAAACAATTTAATTCTCGATTTGCCAGCGCTTAGGTACTTGGTATGAGAATCGCGGAGGAGGGCGGCCACAATATTTAAATTTAATTTATGAAAAAATGCACAAATTAAGGACACAAATTTACTATTTCATTTTTTAGAAAATTCATAATTTAATTTTCGATTTGCTAGCGCTTAGGTACTTGTTCAGAAAATGCACAATTTAAGTTCAAAAATTTATTATTTAATTTTTTATAACTTTCATAATTTAATTCTCGATTTGCCAGCGCTTAGGTACTTGGTATGATAATCGCAGAGGAGGACGGCCACAATATTTAAATCTAATTCCTCAGAAATTTCACAATGTAATTCCGCAATATTATTATTAATATGTATTTAATTTATTCGAAATTTCAGAATTTAACTTTCGATTTGCCAAAGCTTAGGTACTTGGTATGAGAATCGCAAAGGGTGGCCACAAAAAGTACGTGTATGGTCACAGTATGTATTGTGATACATGCGCTTGCTTTCGGAACGTACGAAAGTAATTTGTTATTGGCAGTGCCTTTAGAAACTTTAGAGAGTATCGGAAGGCAAGTAGCATATTGTAAATATGTAAACTTTGACCTGCTAGAACATAATAATCTCATAAACATCATGTCAGATGCATCATCCAGAGACCCGACGAACCTACACCTTTTCCCGTTCCAAGCTGCAACAGGGAACCCATGGTTTTAAATACAGCCTATTCTACTTTTTCTTTAGTTTTCAATATATTCCATATTCTGTGTCAATATGAATAGCAAGCTCAATCTACAGTTTGGGAATGACTCGAATTACAGATGAGCTTTCCTGCGCGCGCAACTTGAAAGCTCGGCGTCAAGGTTTGGGCGGCACTGTGGATCGCCGTTCACTGCATTGCGACGGTAGCTGTCAAAACGCCCGATTCGTAATTTATACAATTAATTTGTTATCTCGTTATCGATGGCGTACCAGCCGCACGTTGCGTGGATTTGTTTACTGTGGTGATACTCAATTTGCTGCAACAACAATAAATGACTATTGTTAAGAAAATCCTTATCAAAGAAATTAGCGACAAACTTGAACCACGACAGTTTTCTTGTCAAGCGGTGCTTTACCTCTACACCCGCCTCGCCGTCATGCGTTATGACGTATGTACATATGTATACCTATACCTACACACACACATATGTATGTACATAGGGAATTGCGTACATTCAATTGTATGTATTTATATCTGTATATGCACACGAGAATTTTTAACATGCCTATAATACATTTATTCAAAGCCGACAAATATTTGACAAGTCTGTTTAAACAAATTGCAGAGCAAATAACCAAAGTTGCCAACATAATGGGGAGACTAAGCCAAGACCATTTCCGTTGCTGGCGTCTTTGTCTGCGCATGTGTGCCGCTCCCCTATTGCTCATTCACACCACAACAGTCGACTAACGGCCTATTTTGCAGTCAAGGCGCTGCTGACAAATGAAATTGTTTATGGGCAAACTTTGTGCATCATCGCCTGTTTACTTTTGATTACAATGCATATTTTTGCATGCAATTTTTTTTTACTGCTGTTTTTTATTGTAGCCAAAGATCGCCGCAAGACAGTGAAGCAGACTGGGATGTGCATGGAATGAAACTGTATTATAGATTCGGAAAGACACTAAATGTTGTTCCAAACTTCTTCTTGGTTGTGTTATGTGTGTTTGCTTGTTGTGTTCATTTCATTAATAATATGTGGTGAAGAAACTTTAAACAGCACAGGGTATCAAAGCTTTTTGGATTGCTTTAATGAGTCGAGCAAGCTTAGATGAATGCTTGCCAAAATATCTGAGAAATCCATAGTTTTGATAGTGAGTCCATTTATGAAAAAACCCGATAAAAATCAAAAGGAACCAACTGGGTTAACAGTTCGAAAAAGGTAATGACTACATTTTTGTCGCGCACATGTGACCTGGACTGAAAATTATAACATTTGGGACTTCTTGTGGCTGTAGTTACTATTTCCATGTCCTTCTCAAAGAAACTGGTCATTTGGCTAGTAGATTTAGAGGTGTAACAGTATAGAGGGCCATTTCGTATTATGGTATTTGCAAATTAAAATTTTCGCCAACCAATGATCAAACATACAGCCAAGAGTCTTAAAGGAATTTAAAGTAGACCTAAAATGTGGAACTAAAAAATTAGCTTACCAACTTGGAGCTCGATTATCCTTTATTTTGCTAAATAAATTGTATTATTTGTATGCATCCCCAGCAAGCAGGATGCGGAAGCTTTTAATTCAAAAGCTGCATCAATACACTATAAACATTTTCTTTTCAATTTAACTTCCATTGAAGTAGTGTTTGTTTTTAAAAGAATCAGAATTGAATTAAGTGGCGCAAAACTAAAAGGATATTGTTTTAAAATGTACACAAAATACATTCCAAACTATGAAGCTTTTTAGTTGAAACCTTATCTTAGATATATATGATTTATAGTTAAAAGAAAGTAAAAATTAAACAAGGGCGAATAAAAACAAAAATAGGCAGCAGTTTGTATTTGTAAAATAAATTTAAGCCAATAAGAAAAAAGGTTAAAATTTTTTTGAAATCAATGCGAATTTGACTAAATCAAACATCTTCAACTCACTCTTTAAATGTGGAAGGCTTTTTAAATTTTACTTTATCAGACGTTTGTAAAACTTGTATATTTTTATTTAAAAACAAAAGTAGCTGTACAATAATTTTGTATTTTAAGTGCATTATTCGGTGATCATATGCATAAATAGGGTTGAAAAACTCCTTAGCCTTTCATTTTGGCGGTCAGAACCAAGGCGGTCATGCCCATTGTTTTACCAGCCACACACACATACATACATATGTACATACCTTTGTATTGTGTGTGCACCCACTGTGCCAGTTACGGACTATAACCCTTTATGGCCGGACCATTGCACGGCTCATATACACCACACATAGCGGCAAAATGCAGCTCTAGGCTCCTCCAACGTCAATGCCGCAGCTGATGCTGATGCGTATGCGTTTTCGCTATTTTTAGCAACTGTGCTAAATGGGCAATTGAGGTCCGCGCCCCTGTCAGGCCGCACGGCAGAAGGCTGCCTTTGTAATCAATACTAATTATTTCCATTATGATTGTTCTATGCATATTGCATTATTATAATGCACGGCAATGCACGACGGCGGCAGCAACAACTGCCATGGGCGAGCCTTATCAATGCCGTGCCATGCATGTAAGGGGTGGGGTCCTGGGTGCATTCAACTGCCAGCAAAACTACGCAAGCATTTGCACAAACAAACAAACATATGATGAATGTATGGATGTATTTATGTATGTATGTGTAAGCATATGTATATTAGTGTACATATGTATTTATGTATAGTGTGAAACACGCCGAACCCCCACATCCGATTTGCCTAGCCAGGGCCACACATCTTGGAATGTCGTTTTAAGAGCCAAGCAGAGAGTTCTTCATCTTCTTATTGTTGTTGTTGTTGGCGTTGCTGCTGGTGCTAGGTATTATTGTTATTGTGCTAGTACGCTCTCGTGTTTACTGATAACATTTGCGCCTTGGCAAAAAAGTGCTAAGAATCGGCAGGCAAAGCGGCGATAATGACGTTATCATCAAAGCGTCATAATTAGCTTACTAGTAACACACTTAGATAGCAGCACACACACACACACACACACACACATACATAAGTATATGTACATATACTATATGCGTGCATATGTATGTATGTGTGTGTATAACACGCAACCGATTTGATTTCATGGCATTTTAGCACTTAATTAAAAGAAAATACACACGAAGTAAAATGAGGCGAGCAAAAAAAAATGATCAGAACACCAGAATGTTAAGAGCTTGCAATTTGTTGTTATATTTCGCTTGTTGCTTGCTTTTTTTTGCCGTGTTTTTGTATGTTTCTCACATTTCCATTACACACGCTCGTTCGTTGTCGTTATTATTGTTTTTGTTGCGTTTGTTGTTGTTACACACATGTGCCTTGCCCTTTATTATTGATATCAGTATCAGTTTTGGCAAAGTCAAGTAATCAGTGCAAAAACAAAAACAAGAGGCAAACACAGTGTTGAGAGCGCGGTCCGCCTCTCCCAGATAGACAGGCAGAAAGATAGGCCGTCAGACAGAGGTACAAACACACACACATATACATATGTACATACATATGTATGTACGTGTGTACAATCTGAGGCGAAGAGCGCTAGCGCTGCTCACTGATTAGTAGTTATAAAAATCAAAAACTTGATTTTAAATTACGATTTTTCTCTGCTTGCTTGCTTTATTTATTTATAACAAATGCCCCCAAGCATTGTTGTTTGCTATTTTATTTCTGAATGTTTTGGTATGGCAGCAACAGCTCATATTTAAATACATGACTTTTTATGCGCGGAATGTAGTAGCAAACTAAGTATAGTAGTAGAAATTGTAGGAAGTAGTGGTAGTATTGATATTAGTAGAACCACACATTGAACTTTGCTACTAAATACACATGGAAAAAACTGCGTCGTGCTTGTTATTAAACAAAACAAAACAAAAACAGACAGAAAGTCGCAGCCGTAGCTAAATAGTGTACATACATATGTATGTACATATGTATATAAGTACGCTTTGAAATATGGAATTAGTTCAGCTAAAAAAAATATTAATGTTACATATGTATATGTATATAAACGTATTTATATTTCAGAAATTTGCATTTACGTGCAATTATTTAAATATTAAATCATTGCTGCTTCTTGGGCGCATGTATGCGCAGACACGCTCGTCTCAGTCAGAGCCACAGCCCACGCGGCAGACGCCCCCAAACTGAGAGGGTTCCAACAGGTGTCTGATGACTGTCTCTAACAGGCGGCGAGCTTTTGTTGGTGGCTTCTATGTATGTATGTGTGTATGTATGTATATGTGCATACATATGTGTATGTTTAGGTTGCACAGTCGAGACAATCCAACAAAAGTTTGCTCGTGCCATTGCGTTTTAAGGGCGAATAATGTTGACGGAAGTTTCTTAGGAATCGGAAATTTGTTCTCTTTTTTTCGATCTAAAATCACAATTACTTGATATTATTAAGTTTATGATTTCATTCGAATCGACTAAAGAATATACATACATATATATTCTTTAAGGGGTCGCAAATGCTTTCTATACCCGAACCTTATAGACCATATTTCCGGATTCTTATTATGAATATAAATTTCGTTCGCTTCGGCCTTGCTTTTTCATTTCGAAATCAGTTTTTATCTCCTTTGAATGCTTTCACTTTTGAACATTCGATGCTTTAAAAAAAACTTTTATCATTCAGTAAATAGTTCTGCTACTTGTACTTGTCTAAAAGTTGGCGGGTACATATATAATTATTTTGAGTTCGAAAAGTGGTAAGAGACAATATGGCTGAGGGAAATATTATATTGATAGCGATAATTGAGTTTTTAATTCTGGAAAATGCAAAGTAAAATAAAACACTATACTATAAACAAATTATAATTTTTAAATGTTATTTAGAACTCGTTTAAGAAAGTAAAACATAAATAAAATACGAATAATCCATAAATTATTGAGAATAAATAACAAAAGGTGTATAGAAGTTTTGTTCTCATTTTCCTTTGTATCTGGCTAATCACAGCACTGGCCGCATTTTCATTATCGGGATTATAGGGTAGAATATCTTCAGGAAGAACGGTTTTTATAGTTATGCCTAACCGGAGCAACCTTCACACCATCAGTTAAGACGTATTGCATTTCCCTTCAACGGATAATCAATGGTCATCATAAATCGTCCGAACTATTCGGCTGGACCTTTGTTTAGGGTCCAGGCTGTAAATGAAATTTGGCTGAATAGGAGACACTTTCATTTGGACTTTAAAATAAAATTTTAGATTTATTTGAAACAAATAACTGTGTTATTACATTGAATATATGAATTCTTGTTGCAGGTTCTTGTATTGTTTCGTATGTAAATTAATAAATGTAATTATATATTACATATACAATTATTTATTTATAATATATATATAGTAGACACTATAATTAGTTGTTTGTTTTGTGTGTGCTTTCAAACAGTACGCACATTTAAAAACTCAACATCGTCATCGGCATATCTCGGCCGCAACATTAACCACAAGACAGTAAACACAACAATTGTTGCAGTGTAGCTCTTGGCTGCTTACTCACATATAAATTAAATTAAACATATTTGTAGTAAGTATATATATATATATATATATATATATATATATATATATATATATATATATATATATATATATATATATATGTATATTTTTCAGATTTTTGACGACATTTTTGTTTTTAAATATATGTGTATGCTTAGTTTATAACTAGAGTTTACATCAATATATTAAAAAAGGAAATTTAACATTTATGCAAAAAATCTTGGTTTCTTGTTTTTACTATAGTTAACAATTATTTATACATAACTTTCTGGTACTCAATTGCTAAAACTTTTTCACTTTCAAGCGTTTATTCGCGTTTATTTGTTTACTTCTTTTTTTTTTTTTTTTTGTGAAAATCAAAAGAGTTTCTCAGTTTTTTAATTTATTAGAAATGTAATTAGGTAGTAAATTTAGACTCAATAAATGTTGTTATAATTTTGAAATATACACATATGTACTTTTTTAATATTGTATGTAAATATTTATGTGTTTGTTTTCCTTTCCTTTTTATTGTTTGTTTCTCATGCAATAAAGCTTTTTATTTTATATCTAGTAAAATTTTGCACTTGAGTTGTTTGCTTTTGTTTTTCTTCTGCTTTTTTGTTTGGTTAACTCGAAATAGAAAACACACAGACATATGTAGAAATATGTAGGGTATTTAGTTCCAGACGCCCTCTCAAATATACATATGATGTTGTTCTGGTAATATTTATTTGTTTTTGAACAATTTATGCAAGTACTGTGGGCTTCTATGAAATAGGATTTTAAAATTGTAAAAATTTTGAATATTTCGTTTTGATTTTTGTAACTCATTTCGCTTAACTTGCATTCTAATACAAAAATCACGTTTACTGACCCGAGACACCGAACAGAACTCACAGGCAAATGAATCGAGTCTCCTCTGTAATGTTTCGGGAAAGTGTCTCATTTTTAAGTTACGGTTGTGCACAGCTGACTAATAATGAGATATGGCGTGGCCAGACAAGTATTTGAACTAACTATGCATATAGAATACGCATGTTATTTGGATATTTTCTATTTATTTATTCGCATATAAATTTGTATATAAATACGATATATACACGTAATTTTTGTGATACTGTGTTCCATAAAAGGTCCCATGACTATTTTATGATATAATAGCTGAATGGGTATTAATCGTTTTAAATTTCATTGTTGCATTTTTACAGAATTGTATTCGAAAAACATAAACAAAAATGAACAGAACACACTTTGAATTCTCGAAAGAACTGAAATAAAATAACAGCACAGTCTGCGCATGTGCGGCGCTTTGGGAGGATCGATTTGCCTGCCTATGCACTAGTAATTGCTTCGACGGCACGTAAGGGCTATACAATATACACGTACACTCGTACACTCGTAAGTATCTAGTTATTGGGGAGGGATTTCGGGTTGTAGTTGTAATTGGTAGTTAAGAAAGGTGGCATAGTAGTTGTGGTGTATAAATATTTTCAAAAGCGGAACGCTATTCTAGTCGTTTGTTTTGATTTTTATCGAGAGTGTACAATATTTTGGTCGTAGGTCTAAGACACTTTTTGGTTTTAATCCCTTCCTTATACATATATGCAAGTTGTTATATACAGAAAATAGTCGTAGTTTAATATTTTTTTAAAGTTGTTTATTATATGTATAATAATAGGTATTTTCGTGGCTTATGTGCGTAATTAAGTAAAATCTGAGACTCGGTGTATGTGTCGTAATTTTAACGGGATGTGATAGATAAAATGTATAGCTTGGTAGAGGGCAGAGAAGACTTTTTAATTAGTATGTGTGTGTGTGTTTGTGTGTGTGTGTAGATACGTCATACACGTAAAAAGACACTCAAGAACAGTACGCTTAATTGTTAAGAATTTAAAAGCTAGCTACAAAGCACATACACGACAACACGACGAGGACACTGCTTTTAGTTAGAGTTGGTAAGACCTCAGGCTAATGTTGCCTCCCCACCAACCGTGTTTCTTATACTGACCAGATTTCGAAAACTTTTGAGTTAACTCTAATGTTAAGTGGGAGAACAACATGGGAATAGGACTTACCCAACTCTATTTACAGCTGTACAATTATGACGCGGCGCACTAAGAATAACCTAAAGATTAAACTATAGGTGTGTGTGTGTGTGTGTGTGTGTGTGGGTGCGGCTTAGAAGAAAAAGTTACGCACTTCTTCATCTAGATCGCTCGAGTCGACCAGATCGTCGATTACGCCCGGCACAAGCAACTCCACAGCCTCGAGCACATCCTGCTTGTCCTGCTTTGGTGACGAGGATTCATCATCATCGTCCGTTGTTGGCTGCTCTGCAGCCATAGTTGCTAGTGTTTCCGACCCCGTCACCGCTTTATTATCGACGCCACTGATCGCTGGCATGGCGCCCAGCAGCGCGTCGTAGGTGTCTTCGAGAAGCACGCCGCTCTCAATGGCTGCAACAGCCTCCTCATAGTATCAGTTAAGGTCTCGACGAAAGTGGTCCTCGATGCTGGGATCGGCACTCATGATCGCATTGTGATCGCTCATCGCTGCATCTAGTGCGCCCAGATCGAGATCGAGGCTATCAAAGATCTCGCGTGCCAAGTCCGCATTGGTGGAGCAGTCTGTGAATATGATCGCGGGTATGTCCGTTGCAGTGGGCGTGTTGGCATGACTCTGCGAGAGTTGTTGCTGTTGTTGTTGTTGTTGGTGGTTATGGTGGTGTTGCAGGTGCTGCTGTTGGTGTTGGTGATGCTGCTGATGGTTTATCATTACATTGGAGTTGCAGGCATTTCTTAGCTGTTGGTGTGGAGATGGGGAGACGCTGCCACCGAGCGTGGTCATTCCTGGCGATGAGCTGGACAGGGGTGAGCTCGAGTGATGTGGCGAGTGCAGGGGTGAGTGGTGTGGCGAGTGTTGCACCGACTGCGAGTGCAGCGACAATGACAGTTGTTGTTGGTGATGCGCAATGGCATGCGGCGAAGATTGTGCCGACATGGGTATGGGCAGCGGGGACGATGGACCACCCAGTGGAGAAGGCACAGGCGAAGCGAGCACATCGTTGGCTAGCGGGGAGTTTCCGGACAGATTGCTCGTTGCATTGCTGCTGCTGTTGTTGTTGTGATGCGTCGTGGGCCCATTTAGATTTGTGCTACCATTGTGCGTGCTTCCTCGACCAACTCCGACACTGCTACTATTATTGTTCAGACCCATTTGATGTTGTTGCGGTTGCTGATGCTGTTGCTGTTGCTGCTGGTTGTTATTGTTGGAGGCGGCAGCATTTGAGGCAGCTGGTGAGGAGACCGGACTCAGTTCATTAAAGTCTAAAAGTTTATTTTGTGCCAGCTCCTGACCCTGATACTGACTATTGGAGCCATTGCCACCACCGCTGCTAAAATCATCAAAATCCAGCGCTAAAAAATTGTTGGAGAAGTTCTGCTGCTCCGGAGATGAATTACTATCACCGAGCGTGAAGTTTTCAAAGTGATTATGAAACGAGGGATTCAGACTGTTATAACCGCCGTCGAAGTTTCCGCCGCTGGTGACTTGTTGCTGTTGCTGTTGTTGCAGCTGTGATTGCGCAGACGTGGGCGTTTGGGTGTGGCGTATGGGACTTGCAGGGGCACTTGTGTGTAGCTCACTGCCTGACACTGAGCTGAGCAGGCCGGGCGAGCTCCGAGGACTTGGTGGATTCGGTGGTTGTCGATAATCGGTCAGGTTGCCGGTGGAACCGGCAGCGCCCAACGTGGGCAACGGGCTAAAGTGTTGTCGGGGCGATGCAGCACCCGAGGCGGACGATTGTACTGCGAGATTTGTAAATGACAAATGCGGCGAGCTGCTAGGTTGTTGTTGTTGTTGTTGCTGCTGCTGTTGCTGTTGTTGTTGCTGGGGTGTGGGCGTGTTGCCGCCTGACGTAGGCGAGTGCTGTTGCTGATGGTAGGGCGAGGGCGGACCTGCGCCACAACTTGCCGGACTGAAGGGACTCGGTGACTGATCACGTGGGACATCAGGACGCTGATTGTGCGGTGACATGGCGGGCGATAAAACCGTCGCCTGTTGCAGGTGCGACTGTTGCTGGTGATGTTGCTGTTGTTGTTGTGACTGCTGCTGGTGTTGCTGTTGTTGAGGCGTTGAAGTGCACTGGAACAACGTCAGGTCGGGCAGTGAACCAGTGTTGGCAAAGTTTTGCTCTTGGAGCGACTTGAAGATACTATTCGCTGGCATGTTGCAGTTGGAGTTGGGGAATTTGGCGTTATATGGCGGCTGTTGCTGTTGCAATTGCTGCTGCAGCTGATGTTGCTGCTGCAATTGCTGCTGTTGCATGTGCTGATGCTGATGCAGCTGATGTTGTTGCTGTTGCAGCTGCTGTTGCTGCTGCTGTAACTGTAGCTGATGCGGTTGCAGCATGTGGTTCTTTCTTCTTTGTGCCTGCGGACTAAAGCTGCGTCCAATGTGCGGCGAGTGAGATCGTTGCTGGTGCTGCTGCTGATTATGCTGGTGTTGCTGATGGTGATGATAGTTGGAATGGAGCGAGTTCATTCCATCACCGCCACCAATCTGTCCCAGGTTTCCCTCTGCTGCTGCAGCCATGAAGCTCTGATGCAGAGCAGAATCTGAGCTGGAACGCCGCCACGTTTCCGGCAGATTCAGGTAATTGGTGGAGGGTATGCCCAGCATGGCATTCACTACACCGCCAGCGGTGCCGGCGCCGTAAGGCGAACGATCCTGTTTTCGCTCAGAAGGGCGACGCATTGGGCCAACGCCTACGCTGCGACCACGTGACTCACGATACATTGCTGGCGAGCCACTACCACCACCTGTTATACCCTCGGGCGAGGCTCCGCCGCCGCTCGCACCACTGCCAGAGCCACTACCGCCACTGCCGCCGCCACCACTCGTTCCGTTGCCTGTGCCCGCACTTCCAGGGGATCCACTGCTACCTTCCGGCCCACAGCAGTCCAATATCTTTTGATTCGCTTGCGGCTCATTCATTTTTGTCGCATTAACCTCCTTCATGATCTTTTCGAACTCGGCGGTTCCCTCGGCCTGCTTCAGTTTCTGCAGCGCAATCTTTTCGCTGAACTTCCGCGGATTGGCCATTGTGTCTATTCGTGTGTGCGTCTATCTAGCATTAGGATATGCGAAAGGGATGCAAAAAGAAAAATTAAATTAATTTATGGTGGTGCTAGCTGGACCATAGAGCTATTTTCTGGTTGTGAGAGATGAAGGGGGGTGAGAGGACAGCAAAGGTAAGTTGATATTTAAATTTGCTGCGTTCGTTTTTTTTTTTTTTTTTTTGCCGCCATGTTACGGTGCTTTGGCTTTATCGAGCGCATCGATTCAAGTTGAAAATGTGTTGTACGCTCTACCCTGACTGGCGTTTTTATCAATCGTCAGCGCGCGCTGCAGATAAGGCAGATAGTTGGCCTTTTCCATTAGAACACGCGCCCACACCTTCATAGGTATGACCAAAACGCTCGCAAGCTTGCTCGCCTGCCTGTCTCCCTCGTTTCGCATCTACTCTACTCTGTGCGACTCGTGTGTCTCATTTTCAATGCCATTGCATAACAAACTTATAGCGCACAGTGTGACATTTTGGAGAGCTCGGTAAATTCGATTGCTTTTAATTACTTTTTATTGCGTGAGACAATAAATGAATCCTGAATTAATGAAAAGCACAAGCAATCAATTTTCATACTCGTTATCTTTGGGAAATGTTTTGACCAAGTCGGCCGCAATTTATTTGTACAATCCGCAGAGCCGCATGTTTATAAAGACAATTCAAAAATTGCTCCACAGAAACTTAACTAGACAGAGAGATGAGCAAGACAGACAGTGAAACACACTCTCCCCAAATAAATTTCCGCTGCTGTGTTAGTTTTGATTTATGTGCGTATAGCTGAAGGCAAAATAAAAAGAAGAGCGAGCGTGCTGCTGCAGTTTGGGAGCGCAGTATTGGAGTAGAAATTTCTCCAAAAATTTGCCAAATATTATTAAACAATTCCAGGAATACGATAGTTATGGAAAATCAATAATAGCGGGTAATGGGGAAAAACAATATTCTGAAATACACATGTTTTGCGTATCTGGCGTCTTGAACTAAAATTTAGTGTCTCTAACTCTTATAGTATTCAAGATATAGGTGATTATACGATCGGCGTAACGGAAAATCCCCTATAAGGGATATACTCCCACTCCGGAAGTGTATACAAAAATAAAACACTGTAAGGCATATTTGTATAAAATTTGGTGTGTCTATCTCTTATAGTTTCTGAAATCCAGGTGCTCATACGGACGGACAGACAGACAGGGCTTGATCGAATTGAATCACTGATGTACTCTATCAATGGAATAAATTTACAACAACCGAAAAAGCGAGGGTAACTTGATATAGAGAATGGATCGTGAAAATCTGATTATTCATTTCTTTTAATAATGTGAAAAAAACTAAACATAATAAAGGTACAAAACCCTGTGTACTTGTATAAAAGCGTACCGAAAAAGCGAGGGTAACTTGATATAGAGAATGGATCGTGAAAATCTCATTTTTCATTTCTTTTAATAATGACTAATACTAACTAAACATAATAAAGGTACAAAACCCTGTGTACTCGTATAAGTTATATACGCCTAATTTTGTTTTTACACGGTCATTTTTGTACACAGTTTTGATTTAACACGGTTTAAAAATTAAACATTTTATATATGGTTACACGACATTATTCTATTTAGCACGATTTAAAATAACATTTGATCAATGACTTTTTTGCACGTTTTTTTTTACTCGACTTTTTCTGGAATGAATCTACCGTGGTAAAACAAAATTAGGTGTAGTTTATTTGAATGACTCGTAAAATGAAACAAATTTTTATTGAAACAAAAAAACTATTAAAAACAAGTTCTATGAGATTTTATATTTTTAAGGGATAATTTTATTTGACCCTTTTTCTACCCCATGGATTGCAAACTAATCCACTGTGCAGCGATTTAGCACCCGCCATTTGCGCGATATGTAAAAAAGGGCGGGAAAGCCAGCTCTTCGCGTATCGACGGCGCGTTTTGAAACGGAGTAAACAACACGTTAATAGTTCTAAAGAAAAAAAATTATACCGAACGCTTCGTGAACGATTCCCTCTACGCTGCAATGACAACAACTGCAACTGACACTCCCCTGGCTGGCTCTCCTTCCCTTCGTCCAAGCCTACTCTGCACATTATGCAAATGTCGTGAATTGCGTAGAAAACTAAATAATATTGCATTAATTTATTCGCAGTGCAAAGTTTGAGCAACACGTGAAGGGCGTCGTCCACATTGCGCTCATCGTGGACGTGGTTTTTAACGTTTACGATTCTTATGCAGATTATGTTTTAAATAGTTATATCGAGTCAGCTTATATCGCTTGCTGGAAACCTGTTGAAGAGCTGGTTTTAAGTTTATTCGATATGACAAACAAAATATTTTTCACAGCGCAGCTCTCCCCAGCTGAACAGACTTTATCTGTGACAAACGTGAGCAGCATAAGTGCTGAAGCGTTTGAAGCATGAAGTCACTCTGAAGACGAATAGGGGCTGAAAGCTTTATAATTGCTTATCAGCAGAGCGGGTGGTGTCAGCATCTAATGTCGTCACTGGGTTGTCTTGAGTTTACCTAAGGTTCACTTCAAGGCACAACGTGTGATTGTAAGCCAAAGCAAATATGAAAGCAGTTTAATTTGGTTTCAGTGGATATAACATTAAGGAAGATATACTTAGTTGTTGGTTTAGTCAATGGAAAATTTATCATAGAGATTCGGATTGGAATTGTTTGACAAATTAAAGTTTACAAGCCATAAATTAATCTTGAACTACAGCGTGAAAATAGAGAAATTGAAGTTAAACTTAATTCGAAGAATTCCTAGTCATACTACCTTCAGAGGATTCTTTGGATTTTTTACTGGATGCCAGTCATTCTGTCATGCTAGTATTACGTTGTTGAAAGTGGATTATGGTACTATCTACGCTGTCTGTCAAATTTCAAAATATAATCTAAGCAAGTACAAAATGTGACGAACATTGCATTGTCATGGAACACAATTTATAGTGTATTTTTTCTATGATGGTATTACCTGCGTTTTTAGGAATTTAAATCTACACATATTCGTATACATAGGTGGGTGCGAGTGGTTTTATTTAAAAAATATATTTTTACTTCTATAATAAATCAATATACAATGCCAGCTATTTAATCGTATGACTCTATATGATTCAGGCTTTAGAAAGGAACTCTTTTGATTTGTATTTTTAGACGATTTCTATTAACTAAACTACATTAAGTCAAAGTTTCCGCTCCTAATTCTCTGAATTGTCATATAGCATGACACATATATATGTATATTCTAATAAAAAATAGCTTCTTACACTGTTTATTCCAAACTTTAACCTATTCTCCGTGGCAACTCTTACATACTATACTATATATTTTCAATCTTCAACATATGATCTTTCATATTTGGGAAATACCTGAAACATTAATACATACAAATTCTTCTAGGCTCGTCGAAAACGCACGTCGTCGTCTAATCTACCTGCGTACAAATACATGTGTGTATGAGTGCACATTTAATTAAACCGTCGCCCCACTTTACAATCACATTAATAATTAATATCCAATGGAGTTTTTTTTTTGAATTTTCCCACTCCCTATTGACCTAACACGAATAAGTGTGTACTTCATATTTGTTTTTATTGAAAACAGTATGGTAAAATCCAAAAGCGTTCACACATCCAAGTCTACTAATCAAATGGCAGTCACATTCCAACGAAAACCACATTGATGACTAATACTCAATTCGGAAGTGTGGTTGAGAGCCAATTTGGGATTACACTAATGCTAACTCTGCTCGAGAACTGATTTGTGATTCAGATCATATAAAGAGTGTGTCTCCATAACAAGCGTACGCCTGCCTGCCTGCCTACTAATAGGAAATGGCAGAACCTCCTTAGCCCAGCAACAAGCCTGGACAGTCTATTGCGCAAGCCATGGCGCGGCAGCGGGAATATTCCCACGAATCGATAATGACATTTAATAATAATTTTAAAGCCAATACGATAAAAATGTATTTACGTACACACACACACACGTCTGGGGTGTGAGCTTCAATACGGAAAAGCGCTGCACAGCTTGGTCGCATGGTCAGTCAACTTAGCGGAGGCTTTATTGGCGAGAGCTATGCAGCTTTTAAATATATGCGTTCATACATCCATGTATGTATGTGCGGGTGTGTATTTTAGATATTTGTTTACTTGACGGGTACAAACGCAAAGGCCGCACATTGCAACATCGCATACCCGCATACTATTAAAATAATTGCAAATTCAGTGTAAATACAGAAATTTAACAAGAAATACTACAGTAAATGTTATTAATGAGTAATTGAAAAATCGGAATATTTAAATAGCGAAGGAGTTCATAATGAACTTATTAATTATGGTCTAAAAAAATGCACATAAAAGGATCCAAAACGAAGAAAAGCGCCTTTATTATATAAAGTTTCTTGTCAAAAAATAGATAACAAATTACTAAATATATCAGAAACGTCAATTTAAAAAATAATCATCTGGTGTCTATAAAATATAAAACAATTTTGTATATTTGTAAACTCTAGATCTACATAAATATACCATATGTACTTGAAACTATTACCGACTTTCAGCTATGACTTCATATGGTATACTATAATTTTTTTCAAACCTAAGATCTTAATATATGAATTTGTGCTATTAAAAATGTCTTTGTGTGTGGGTTTAAAATTAATTGGCTTAGTTAAACGGAAGAGAGAATGTTACAGTAGGCAATAAAATACCCTGTGTCAAAAAATGTCTTATAGAAGCAAAAAGTATTATTGCCGTTGAATTGTTATTGGGATAAAAAATACTTACATTTTCGTATTAAATACTTTCGGGTTATGTACACAGAAATTGACAGATCTTTTTTGAAATTGAAATACAAATAAGTAGTTTAAAGTCAATTGATATTAATGACCATTAGTACATTATACAAAAAATATCATTTGATTTATAGCACTAGTTTGAGAGACCAGTAGCAACTATGTAAATAATCTATATTATATAGGAACGATTCTGATGTTATCTGGATGTTATGAAAGAAAAATACTGCTTAATAAGCATGATATGGTATAAATATACATATGTAGTGTTACAATCTATGCAATAACTATTCTACCTATTCCCTATATCGAACATGTACTGCATATTATATATGTAGAGATTTTGAGCGCGCAAAACGAACGCAGCTTAGTTTAATATGAGCGCAGTCAGTAAGGACGGGTATTGTGTGTTTCGGGGATGAGACACTTGTGGAGTGGTCCCAAAAGGAGTGTTATATATGTATCTTTTTATGGCTCCCAGAATTTACTATACTTACATGTCAAGCTTTATGTTAGATTAATATATTTTTTATCGCTCTCTTGGCGACGCTGCAAAACTCTGATTGAATTTTACTTGCGCCGCTCGCTAATTTTTGTTATGCAAATTTCTTTTACTCAAATTTTTTATATGCTTTAATTAAAGTATGCATGTATGTGTGTACGAATTTATTTTCGCGCTCTTTTGGCGCTGATGTTGTTAATCGTTGTTGTTTTAGTTACTGCTACAGCTGCTGCTGGTGTTATTGTTTCGTTTAAGCTGTTGTTGGCTTGCTTTTGCGTCTTCTTTAAGAGGGAGGCTAAAACTTTGTCACTTGCACACATAAACGGCGACGAGGCTGCGACTGCGACGTCGACGCTTGTATTGTTCAGCGTCGTTGTCGTCGCCGACTGATAAAACCAGATTTTTTATTTGCGTTCTGCTTCTTGCTGTACAAAATACATACATACATATATGAAATTAAATTTTTTATTATTTTTTTTATTAAATGCGAAAAAAATTGATTTCTAATTTGAGTTTTAAGCTTGCATTTTTGGACGTCTTGGGACGGTGGCGCGTGTTTGTTTTTTGTTTTTTATATATTTGTGTTGTACGAGTATATCGCGCCAGTTGGGAATTTCTTAATGGCCGCGCGCGCAAATATATTTTAACAACTGATTTTTTGCGGGCTGCGTTGATGTTGTTGTTCTTATTACCAGCTAGCTCAGCGTCACTAATACACACACATACACACATACATGACATATATACATAAACGCTAGTAGTTGTATGTATGTGTGTGCACACGTTTATTGTTTTAACGCACAACTACGACGTTTTTTTTTCGTTTTTATTTTGTGCGCTCAGCTGGTTGGTACTTTTTGTTACCGCACCGCACGCCGTGCGTTTTACACACTCACACACACACCCTTGCAAGCACAAACACTCACAGGCCAGCGAAATGAAAAACTTTTGTTGCGCCTTTGACCTCTTTTCACACCGACGGCAGCGACGACGTCGACGGCGACAGAGACTGCGACGGCAACGACACTTTTCATATGAAAATGAAAACTGTATTTTCAATACATATTTCCACCGCTGTTGTTTGTTTGTTGCGTTGATTTGCTTTAAATACAGATGTATGTATATGTACTATGTCTTTTGTATTTTCCAATTGCGTTGGAATTCTTAAATTGACTCGTCGTCTGGTTAGGATTACAGCACGCAGTAGTGCGTGCAGCGCGCACTCGCTCCTGGTTTGTACCCGTTTTGGTATTGCATTTTGACTAGCTTGAGATTATTTCAATTTCATTCTTCTTTTTTAACAAAATTGCCGCAGAAACAGACACACCATTACACACACATATGCACGAATACAAGAGGGGCCTGTTGTGCACACTCGCGTTTTCAGCAATTTTCCGTTTCTATTTTGCTGCGGGTCTTATTTTTTTCGGGCTTTTATTTTCGTGTATTATGTTATTTTCGTTGCACCTCGCACTCACATACAACTTATTATTGCTCACTGCTACTGCTGTGCTGCTGCTGATGTCTCTCGTTCTTCGTTCATCTTGCTTGCTGCGCTGCTGCTGCCTGGCGGACTGACAAACTGGCACTTTTTTACTGGCGCTCCGAATTTGTTGCGCATGCAAATAAAAACACGCGACTTGGGATTCTTTTTTTTTTTGCAATCGCCTTATTGCGCGTGTAATCGTTGTCTTTTTAATAATATTTATTGCACTTTTGTTTTGTTTTTTTCACTTTTTCACTAAAAGAGCTTGACGCGTTGTGGTCGACTGCTATCGTCATCGTGCGCTGCTCCCATAATCGGTCATCGATACGCATAACATTAAAAGAGACTATGGCCCCCAGTTGGAGCCCTGGGAGGTAAGTGTTGCCATATCGATATATTGGGGCTGTGCTGCCATATTGGAGTAGTGGCGCCACTCTGCGGCTGTCCACAACATGCAACAGTGCCGAAACTGTTGCAAGCACAAGCTCAACAGATGTTTCAAATACATGTATGAATATTTTCTGCACAATTTAATTTCATGAGAACACATATATATTTAACTTTATATATACTATATATACTTATGTATATGCTTCTAAAGACATTTATTTTCATTCCCTACATTTAAGTAAACTTATATGTATGTAGGTAAATGTGCATTTAAATTGCATGACATGCTTCAACACACTTTAATTTCGTTGCGGTGCCGTGTGTGTGTGTGCGTTGGTGTATTAGTGTGCGATTTGTTCGTTTGACTACATACATACTCGTACACCAGTTTCCTTTTCCGTTACCATTTTGTGTCTGGTTTCCGGCATTTTTGTACGCCATTTAAAATTGTTTTGCCCGATAAGAATCTAGGACAGAATTTGTTTTCCAGCCACTTGAATGCCAATTGGAAGCAAATTGCGGCCGCAAGGCAATGGCGGAAATAAGCCAGATGCTGAAAATAAAAAAATAACTGCAAAGGTGAAATGTAATTGCAGTCAGAAACGTCAAATTAGGCTGCCTATTTTAGTATTTACGATGAAGAGAGTGTGGCCAAAGGCCCAGCATTGGGAACTCCTTCATGTTTGGGTCCTGTCCACACCCTTCGTCCTTTACTCGCATGCCCACTTAACTGTACCGCTTCAGTTTATTTGCTTCATAATTATTTGTTCGTTTATGGCTTTGTGTGCATAATTCATTCATCAAACTGTCAAATGAATGTCAAAACTAATGGAGGGGTAGCTCGTGGAAAAATGGCAGAAAATACAAATAGCAAAATGACCAAAAATGTTGTCGCACGAGCTCGAGTAATTGCTCTATTATTACAATGAATCGAGCGCGGGAGGGTCTTGCTGTAACTCAATTAGCTTATCGGTATAGCCATAACAGTTTGTTTTGCCTGTACTTGTTTACTTTCGAATAGCTAATGTTGTTTTATTACACCTCTTACATAAATATGTACATACTCGTACATATGTACATATGTACAAATGTATGTATGCCTGAATGTTTATGCATAAATGTGAATGTACATATGCGTGGCTCCCTAACCTCTCTCTCGCGCTTTCTTTGAAGCCATCACTTCCCTTTATGAGTTTGTGAATGGATCTGCTGCTGCAGGTGGATTATACTATATACATTTTTGTAGTGTGTATAAATTAATGAAATGAAATGAAAATGTATGTATTCGTTTTTTGTTTTGTTAAATCCAGCTCGATTGTGGTACTCTTAAATGCACAGACTCTAGGGTCAGACGAATAAGATAATGATGGCACTATATGTACATACATATGTACTTTTATCTATATGATGGTATTGTGATAAAGCTCAAAGCATCAAATGTCAGTAGTTGCTATGATAAGCCAGTTTTTAAAATAAACCAGTGTAGAGATCGGCGGGCGGTTCAGATACCAGCGAACACTTACACAAGCAGCATATGAAATACAAGTAGAATGAGTGAAGAAGACTAGTAAGATAATCACAAAATCATAAAGTGTAATGGAGAACATCTAATTTTTCACAGCAAAAATGAGGAGCCTATTGTTGAAACCACCCATGGAAAGATTCGTGGGAAACTGTTACATGGCATTTACGGTGATCCCTACTACTGCTTTGAAAGCGTTCCGTACGCAGCGTCTCCTTTGGGACCACATCGTTTCAAATCCCCACGCCCACTGCAGCCCTGGACAGGCATCAGGGAGTGTACCATAACAGGGCCCGTGTGCCTCCAATTATATAATAATAAGCTTGTGGGCAGCGAAGACTGCTTAAATCTGAGCATTTATGTGAAGCTGGTAGGGTTCTGCTAAAAAAAAGTGTAGTTCCATCATTTAATATATTTTATTGTCAACAGCTACGGTCATCCAAACCTCTGCCCATACTAGTGTATGTGCACGGGGGTATGTTTAAGCGAGGCGATTACACACGGCGAGATTGGGGTCCGGATTATCTAATGCAGGAAGAACTCATAGTTATATCTGTGGGTCATCGCTTGGGTGCATATGGTTTTCTCAGCTTTCCGGATGATCCAACCTTGGAAGTGTCGGGCAATGCTGGACTTAAGGACATCATTTGCGCACTGCGCTGGATTAAAGCAAATGCCAGTAATTTTAATGGCGATCCAATGAACATTACTCTGGGAGGCCATAGCTCCGGCAGCATATCAGTCCAATGGCTACTGGCCAGCTCACAAACCGAAGGTCTGTTCCATCGTGCTATTTTGCAGGGGGGATATGGACCCGAGTCGCAGTGTCTGCCAAACATTGCATATCGTCTGGCCGTGCAACAAGGATACCAAGGTCCAAATGAGTCGCGATTTATTTTCGAGTACCTCAAGGGTTTGCCGTCAGAACAGTTGGCCGACTTCCATGCCCTCACCGACGAGGAGAAAAACATGGGGCTGCTTATAGCATTCGCGCCCGTTGTGGAGGCTTCATGGTGCAACGACGCCGTAGTCACCTCAGAGCCAGTGTTGGCACAGAGGACCTCGTGGAGCAATCACATACCCTTGCTTTTGGGCGCTACAGAGAATGAGTCGCTCTATTCATCATACGGGAAGTATACCAAGGACCCCACGTTTTATGAAAAAATCCATTCAGAACCGCAGAGAAAGCTACCGAATGTGCTTCAGTGGAGGTGTCCATTGGAGTTACAGCACTTATTGGGGAAGCAGCTGTTAGCTGTCCACATCGGTCGGCTTTGCGAAGCCATCGAGCTGGACTCTTACAATTTGGTTTATCACAACATGCATCGATTTGTGGAGTCCCGAAGGCGCTATTCTACCCAGCCAGTCTATTTGCAAAGATTTGCAATGGATTCGCGCAAATTTAGTTTCTATCGTAATCGTGCCTTGGGTGACGTCTTTATTCCTGGTGTAGGCCATGCGGATGAATTGCTTTTTCTTTTTCACAGACCTGGATTTAGTGTGGCGGTGTGTAAGAACAGTGACGAATACAAGACCATGCGACGCATGGTCAGCATGTGGAGTGCGTTCATAACGCGCGGCAATCCAAATACTCCCGAAATAGAGCCACAGCTGTGGTCACCAGTGGACCCAACAAGTGCTTACAAGTGCCTAAACGTAGATAGGGAGCTTACGTTGATTGAGTCTCCAGAATATAGAAAAAATTTGGTCCGGGATGGTTGGTATAAGCAAGCGGAGCTGCCTCTATATTAGGTGGAAAGCTGTAGTACCAGACATCTGGGGCATGTCTCTTTTTAATATTACCCTTCAGTTTCAACAGTTTATGCAAATTATTCCAATTTGTTTTTTAAAGGCATGAAATTCAACAAAATAATATATTTGTCTTTTAAAAGAATTTCCGACAATTTTTACTGCATAGTTATTGATGAGTATGTTGCTTACGATTATTTGGCTTTTTATTTATTTTTTTTTTTTAATATTTTAATAAGTTTTCAAAGAGTATGCCAGATTCATGGAATGCCATATCTTCTGTCACACTCGAGCGGCCTGGGGATAAGGAGATTCTACATACCTAGTTTGGTAAATCTGGGCTGAGCCGTTTCGATAATCCAGGCGTTTATTCAGACAGACGGACGACTGGACTTTTCGGGTACAGGATTTAAGAGATCATAATATTCATTATTGTATAAGTTAAATTAAGAGCTAGTAAACATATTCCTAATCAAAGTCAAATTGTTTTAAACATTTTAATCATTTTGTTCAATATTATGTTTTTTTATTTTTATTATTTTTGTTACTTTGAACTTTTGCAAAAAGGAGCTTAGTTAGTTATTAATTACTTTTTAAATGAAGCGTAATACTAATTTGGTTTTCTTTACACGATGTATCTTAATTGTTTCAAAACCAACCTAGTTTTTATCTTACTTTGTCCTTTCTCTAATTCATGTTAGTTGGTATATGCCATTAATTAATTTGGAATGTCGACTATACATATTTTGGAATATTTAAAGCATATTTTGAAACAAAATAAAATAATAGTTTATGATAATAAAAAGCTCATTTTCTATTTGTAGTATTCAATTTGGAGTTTATCGTATTAAATTTAATTTTTTTTAAAGGAATCTAATTTGATTGTTTGCGGGAAATCTATTTAAAGGCCTTTTTGTTTTTTCTGTTGCTAACATTTAGGTGCGACAACAAACTGAACTTTCACTTTTCACAAATAGCCATTCGTGTCAGGAGGTAGACATTCAAAAGAACAAGTTCCAAATAATCTGTCCAATTCCAATCAGACATGAACATTTAAGGCATACATACTTGCATATCAATTACCAAGTACACCATCTAGCAATCGCGCTCTTGTACCGCCCCATTATGATTTATCAATGTCAGATTTTATCACTCGAAATCATCGGAGCGCTTTTGAACTGTTTCGTCGCCTCAGTCCACTTCACTTCCCCCTGCTTCGCTTTCCCGAACACATGGCACTGCATGGAACATTTGGGGCCCCATATTGGGCATTGATTTCTCAAATTTCAATCAAAGTTTGGTGGCAAGCGTTCTGTACGCAGTACGGATGGTTAAGCGCTGGTATCGCCTTCGCCAATAACAATTAAAATTAACGGCAATTGACGGAACATTTAACGGTAAGCACACAATGTGGCCAACACATAGATGAACTCGTTATAAACGCTTGTTAACTGTTGTTCGGTCGTGGCACTTGGCAGTGAAATTAAGTTTTATGCGCAATAACAAAAACACTTTTGGCAGCATATCCGAGTGAGGAAAACCAGGCGGCAGTTCATTGAGCGCCCGCTTAACTTCATTACAAAATGTTCTCTTGTTGTTGCTGTTATTGTTGTTGGTTTATAGTGTGGGGGGAACTGAAAACTACAGAGGAATAAAAATCAATGCGCTCTCTGTTCTGTTTTTCCTTCTCTGATGTTGCCGCGGAAAATCTTTTGCAAGTTAACAAAAACATTGAAGACCACACTCCTTTTATCTCTACCTCCCCCCCTCCACCATTGTTTTTGGATTGCCCTTGGTGTTGGTGGTTCCTTTAATTTAACTGCTTATGTCTTGCTTGTTTGCCAGGCCGCAGACCAAATAGCAGAGTCTCAGTAGAGGATCGGGGGAGAGGAAACAATTCATTTCAGCATTTGTTGTCAACGACAGACAAAACTTTAGTTCGCCGCATTAAACCTAACTCCACTATGCTTTTGTGAGTGACTCCTTATGTATGTACATATATATATATATATATATATATATATATATATATATATATATATATATATATATATACAGTATGTGTGTATGTGTGTGTCTGTCTGTACTTTTAGTGTTTCTGTCTGCTATGCAAACACGAATTTCACAGCTTTTCCATGGCTTTTTCTTGTTTTTCTGCTCCTTGTTGTTGCTGTTGTTATGAAATTTTGGGCGAACTGCTCTTTTATTCATTAAACAACAAAATAAAAATAAAGCAGAGCAGACAATCCAATTGTGCCAAGCTGTTGAAAGTGTGAAGTGTGAAGATTGCAGACAAACTAGAGACTGAGACCCAACAATTGGTTGTGTTTTGGGAATAGCTTTAATACTTAGTAGAGGCAGTTGTTCAAGTTTTAAATGCGTTAGCTAATGATACACTGATATTTACGCACGTGCAAGAGCATAAAATAATTAGAGCAAGACAACTTTTCCAAAATCGCAATAATTTTCATTTGCTTGATTTAGATTTGAAGAAGGTTCTAAATATTGTTGAAAATGTTAGGTTTTCTGATAAAGTACTATTTATAAACATTTGAAAAATAATAAGAGATAGTTTTCATCCCTGCGAATATAAATTTGTTGAGGTTTTAAACCTCTTAAGTGAATTAAGTGTATAAATTAATTATTTCTTCTGCGGCTACAATAACCATGAAATGTTGTTGATTTAAACAGAAAAGAATTTCATATTTTAGAAAAGTTAAAATACTTGCATAATTATAATAATTATGATATAACACATTTCTAGACTTAAAAATAAATAGTATTAATATGAAATTAACTTTCAAGTTTGTATTTAATACATATATAAATTTTATGTTTCTAAAATTAAGGAGCTCCAAGCAATAATAGATAAATAAATAATAAAATAAAATATCTTCTTCAATATCATTCTCTTTTAGTCATGTTAAGAACATGGTTCAAAATGTTAATTACAAATGAAAATTAATTAAGAAATTGTAGGGAAGTAAGTTTCAGAAAGTATTTTCAAATAAATGAAAAAATCAGTTTCTCTAAAGAATATGATATTTAATGTTTCATTTCCTTTTGACTCGTTTATCATATTGAAAATTTCAAATGCTGTAGCATTACTTAGTAAAGAAAGACATATGCCGTATGAAAGTTTTGTCTGCGCAATGCAATTAATTAAAAGTCTTTCTAGACTTAGCTTATGATGCTAACACATCGTTTAGAGTAGATTTTTGAAACAATTATCTAAATTAGTCTGACATGAGTTTGCGATTAAAATTATTTTTGAATTCAAAACATATGAATAAAAAGAAAGCATCTACAGCCTTTAAGTTGTGATATTAATGATAAAATCCGTATTATTATTGGTAAACATTTTTTGAAGTCGTCCTTACTGTGTTTGTCTTTTTAGTTCAACTTTTAGCCACACAGGTTTTTATTTGAATCGAAGCGAAAAAATAATTTCTTCAAACCTACAAATTCAAAATAATTAAAAGTTTATCGTACTGCTAAGAAATACATATACTCAGGAGATCAAATTTGGCTTAATCTCTCTACCAACACACGCACACGAAACGAACATACAGTCGTGGCCGACTGAATTATTTCCAATTATGGAGTGACCAAGAAGCAGTTAAAGTTATGTAATGCTTAAGGAGCTTAATTTTCTCGCATGCAAATTGAAAAGAGCTGCTGAATTTGTTGCTCAATAAATTGAAAGTCTTAAATCTTTAAGCGGCTCACTTCAATTGTGATGCTTAATAAATCTGTGCTGAGGACAATGCCGTACCAGACACTAGGTTCTAAACACTAGACGTCATTGAAAAACTTTATTGATTCAGGGAGACAGGAAGGAAGGCAGCCTCCGCCATTTGTCGGCTATTGTGCAGCTGCCTGTGCATAGAAATAAAAGAACTTGGCCAAGTTGCTTAAGTGAAGCGTTAATAAGCTCAACTTGAAGTGGCAAGTGGGAAGTGGGAGGTGGGGAGCGGGTAGAAGGTGAATGAGAGGGCAATCTTTCTTGTTGCCCCTCGACTCGGCCGCTTGTCAAATAAATTGACTGCATGGGGCCCGTTGGACCAATTGCCAAAAGGCATGGCGGAGAGTTTGTTGTTTATGCCTTGGTAATTGTATTGCTTGGCCACGCCTTCTAACCGTCTCGTTCTGCACAATAGCCAACAAATTGCCCACACTTTGTTGTAGCTGTTGTTGTTGCTGCTGCTGCGGCGCCATTGTGTGTTAATAACCAAACCGATTTTTATGGCCTTCCCAACATTTAAAAGACTTTTTGTAAATTTACAATTTTTTTCAGTTTCTAATGCCAGCCAGCGCAAAAATTGATTTTCGGCTGTTGAGCCTTTCCGTACTATTTGCACACATTACAACAACAACACCAGCGGAGGCTTTTGTGGCTGCCTCATTAGTAAGAGCAGAGACGCCCGCACAACGCATTCTGGCCAAGTTGCCCGCATCAGGTAAGCAAAAAAAAAAATAAATAAATAAAAAAAAAGGCAGGGAAAGGCAAGAGCTACCAGCTCTGGTAGAAGCTGCAATTAGCTGCTGTTTATCACACATACGCACTGTGGTACTGTGGTTGACACTTTTGGGTTGTCACTCGAATGCGGGGTGGGGCTGTGTCAGGCCAAATGTCAACGTATTCGTAATTGGTATTTCATTTCAAGCTGCATTTAGTTACACCAGCTACAGGAACCAAAAATAACTCAAGTACTGCGCGCTCTCGAAATTTGTCAGCGAGTATGGGACAGTACATACTCCTTATGAGATAAAATTGCAATTTAAAAAAAAAAAAAAAACACTACATTTACATTTTAACAATGTTGCAAGAAAGTACAAATTCGCATCCACTACCTCATATAATTATTAGAAGGCACATTCGCTTGCATGCTTTTTAGAGCCTAGAACTATTACAACTATTGTGTTTTCTACTAATGGATCACATTTAAATGCAACATTTTATTTGCAAATATATGCTCAAGTTGAATTTATGAATACATATTAAATAACTGAGAAAATAACAGTTGGAATGTTTTAAAGACCGTAACTATTTATCAGGTCTTATTGTGCCACTTCGTTTAATTTTACCCATTTATAGCAATATATATATAATGGACTAGAATGTGCAGAAAAGGCACCAGCGTT